TCTGCTCTGTGTGCTGATTAAGGTGTGCAGCAGTGGGAGGTGAGGGGCAAAGAATTAAGAGTATTCAGGAACCACAGTTTTTAGGGAAAGACCTTTTGTAAAGTGTTCCTCCTTTACCGAAATTCTCCCTTTAAAATTTTATATATGGCTACACTGTTTTCTGGGTTCTGTCTGATAATGCAAATTTCAGAGTAAAATAGCAATGGTGCATATATAGCTGACTTGGAGAATCTTTCCAATTTAATAATTTTGGCCTATTTTGGAAACACAGGCACAAAACTAAGTTTGTTAAAGATCGGATGATGTTCCCAATAGTTGAGAAGTTAGAATTGTAGCCAATGTGGTTGCAATGTAGGACTTTGAAGCATTGCGGTTAGCTGATACTGTACTTAGCCGTACTCTGTGAACACTACTGTTTGGTTTTGTGATTCTGTGATTCCGAACAGTCTATCCATAGTCCACACTGATGAAAATTCAGGGGATGATGGTTTAATAATGGAATTATTTAACAAGGCCATATCACACCTAGTTGAGTCAATATTTTTTTTTATTGCACATTCCAATTACAATATGTTGGCTGACTCTCATCTCCATTGTCAGAAGACGCAACGGCTGAGGACAGGACAAAGTGAGCAGTGATTGTGACTAAAATACCTCTTTTACATTTACTCCTAACACGAATTATGAGAAAATAATGACGCACAGAGTTTGACACCCTGTCGGATTTCTATTTTTCATATGGCTGCAAATAGAGTTATGCTATTGATTTTTGGAATTCTCAGAAGATTGTCCCGTGGTTGACCTTTGAGGTTTTGGCATGCCTTTTAAATAAATCTATTTTCATGTTTTATTATCCTTGTGTTTAAAGAAATTAGAAAAATGCACTTTTATATTTATTTAGAAAATGCTTTACCAGGAGGAGTACATTGAGATGTCTTATTTTCGAGAGTGCCTTAGCATCTTTAAACCAGGTTAATTTATAAAACATAGATTCCTATCTGCAGTGATTACGGTTTGTTTTGATTTAATTTAAAGTACGTTTTAGAGATTGCAGGTTTGTGCAAGATTTTTGTGGGAGGTTATTGCACAGTCACAGTGCTCTGTTAGATGGCTGCCTTGTTATAATGGGGAATGGAGGGTAAGGATCAGGAATTAAACCTAAGATCACAAGGGTCGTGGACAGCAGGCCTAATGTGAGTGAAAAAAAGATAACTGAAGAGTATCATAGATGTCAACAGTCCCCCAATTTATTGGGACAGTCCCCCATTTTGGGGTACTGCCCCAAGCAAAACTGGTCCTGGAACCTGGCCCATATTTAAAAAATCTGCCTGCAGACTTTGAAACGCAGAGCCTGACTGGGCACTAAGACCATGCACAGAGAGATTCAGCCGTACTCCGTGCATTAGACTTGGACATTCATTTTGGCATTCGTTTAGGGGCCCTAAATAATAAAGAGAGGGATGGACCTATTGTCAGTGGTAAGGACTAATAATAAAAATGACTCACCCTTTTCGTGACTAGGCCAATATTTTTAGGTACCCCACCATGGGGGCATGGGAGACCTGGGTCAAGTCCCCCTTTATTGGATTAGTGACTGGGCAAATATATATGGCAATCTCACAAGGGTGCCAATTGAGGGAGTTTTCTAGTAAACTGCTGCAAGATGCAGTAGCGGCCTACACCAAAGATCAGAATTTAATTTGTCCCAATACAATTCTGAAACAAAAATAATGGACGAATTTTGTCTGAAAATGAATGAACAAATGGACAAATAGTTTTGGATGAAACTAAAATTTTTGTTGCACCCAAGTCCTTTGACTAGCAGACCTCCCTTCTGCCGAGTGTACAGTTTTTACTCTCTCTGCCCACCTCTGTCCTGGAAGATGGGCAACAAAGATTGACAGGTATGAGGGTTTTATTTTGATAATGAATTTTTGTGAAAATGTCTTTTTAGAACACTTTAATAAATTAGATGAAAATAATGACAGAATGTAACCATCATTTTTCAGAACACTTTGATAAATACCCCCCAATGTTTCTGCTCTCTTTACCTGCCCTGTGCTTGCATAGACTTGGGTTGTGATGTCACTTGCTAAATTTAAAAGACAACAGAATGATTAACATACATTACAGGAGATTTTAAATCTTTTATATGACAGTGCTGTGACAGGTTTGTCAGAATTACAAGAACTTGTCTTTAGAAACCCAATGCTCAGTGATGGAGTTGGGATCAGAGAATATTTGGATTTTATGAGCATGGTCTCCCGTAATATGTCGTACAGATGGGGCAGGTTTAAAAAAAATATTTACATCAGTAAATAGTGGACACATAAATTATCATTATTTGCGGAAGACATCATTTTGTCGATTACTCGACCCGAAATGTCATTGCCACAGTTAATGGACATATCCTCCCTCGGCTCCATATCCTGCTATAGGCTTAATACCAACAAGACCCAGGCGTTACCAATCCACATGTCAGATGACAAACTACCAGCAATTCCAATTTAACTGGAGGAAAAAAAGAAATAAAAAAAAAGTTGTGGTATACTTAGGAGTACGAATCATTAAAACACTCAAAATGATATTTAAACACAACCACTTACTCACTACATTACACCAAGAGTTAGAGAGTTGGAAGGATGTGAAAATATCATGGTCAGGCCGTATAAATGCCCTCAAGGAGATGGCCCTTCCTAAACTTCTATACAATTTCTGGATGATCCCATCTCCATGCCTAAACACTGTGACAATATTCAAAAGCTATTCTCCACCTTTATATGGAATAAGAAAAAAGCAAGGGTGGCGGGATCAGTCCTACAGAGACCCTATTCAGCTGGTGGAATGGGGGCACCAGAGGTATGGGCTTATCACAGAGCAGCTCTCCTATCACAGACAATAAACCTACATGCAACACAGGGTTTACTGGGATGGGTAGATATGGAAGGCAAGCAACTACAAGGTAAATCCTTACTATCACATATGTGGACCTCGCCATCCTTCCGCAACAAAACCCTAAGCTTATTCCCTACAACAAGGGCGTCAATTGTAGCTTGGGATGCCTTTTTATACAAACTGCACTCCACTGGTTAGCACTTCGATTCATTGAAACCCATATCACCATGGCTGTCAGTACGCAAATGGAAAAACAAGGCAAACAAAAATCTCTCAACTAATAGAGGGAGGTTAACTTATCCCTTTCCCAACCCTCCAAGAAAACTTTAAACTACCATCAAACTTCACCTTTCTATATCTACAAGTTAAAAGTGCAATTCTGGAACACGTAAAATGTGCGGAGAGAACCTCCCAACCAGAGGAGAGAGACGCACAAAGCTTGCTCGTCTCTTGTTGGAACACCCCACTGAAACCCAAATTGCTCTCCAAATGTTATTAAATAGCGATGTCCCGAACGGTTCGCTGCGGACTCATCATTGAGTAAACTTTGACCCTGTATCTCACAGTCAGCAGACACATTCCAGCCAATCAGCAGCAGACCCTCCCTCCCAGACCCTCCCACCTCCTGGACAGCATCCATTTTACATTCATTGTGAAGCTGCATTCTTAGTGAGCTGTCCAGGAGGTGGGAGGGCCTGGGAGGGAGGGTCTGCTGCTGATTGGCTGGAATGTGTCTGCTGACTGAGGTACAGGGTCAAAGTTTACTCAATCATGAGTCCGCGGCGAACCGTTTGGGACATCACTACTATTAAACACAAACCAACCCTAGAACTCTAGCTCCACTGACGTTTATATCAAAATGGAAAAGAGAAACAGGGAAAACAGTTACACAAGAAAGATGGGTTAAGAGGCTGAATGCATTAAGGGGAATGACCCGATGCTTCTCACACGTTGAGGTCCACTGCAAGAGGATATATCGCTGGTGCCTCACACCAAACAGACTCAAACACAGACACAAAAATGCTTCTGATACGTGTTGGAGGTGCGACTTTGATAGGGGTACTATGACTCATGTCTGATAGGAGTGCTGAGGAATAAAACCATTTTGGGCCACTGTGGCAAAACTAATAAGAGCATTGGGGCTCAAGGTGCCAATGTCTCCAGAAACATTCCTGTGGTTAGAATTCCCACCCCACAAAAACTACAGTACCCTCTCCCACTCAGGGGCGGATCCATCTCAAGAGAGGCACTTGTAGATTTTTAAAGGAACAATCCAGGCTCAATAACCACTACAGATCTCTGTAGGGGTTACAGTGCCAGGAGTGCCTTGGCTAGGGGCTTTAGTAAGGGATATGAGCTCTGGTAGGGAAATGGGCAGTAGTGTGTGTGTGAGATGTAATGTGTGAGTGCGTAGTGTCTGAGTAAGGGGTACATCTCCCCTCTGGTCCGTGAAGGCACACAACAGGGCCGGCGCTTAGATAGAGCCAGACCTGCATAGGCTGGCAAGGGAGATCGAGATTACTGCTCCTACTTAAGATAAACCTTTTTTTTCTGAGTTGACATATATTAGAATATATGCATATTAAGGAGCTTTGGCTGTATGCGAGTTTTTTTTTAATTCAAGAATAGGTATAATCATGATATTCTATTTAAAATAGTCTTGTTTCACCCACATTCCCAAAATGTTTATAATTTCCTTTAAGATATTTTATTGCACTAGGCATTTTCCACCAATGGCCAAACTCACAAGAGCATGCCTGAGGCATCATGGGACAGCAATATCACAGAGGAATTGGATTTCTTTTTTTTTTTATGCATCTCTGCCATTTAAGTCATCCCTGTAAATGTTGCAATAGCGTTTACTGGAGTGAGGGATCGAGAGACTGTCTTTTCTCAAGAAGTGACTATTTTGCTTTAATAAGTAGCTTTACATGACATACCACCACTTTCAATAAAAGGATTTGCAGTTCGCGCACAGATTAATGTGAGAATGAATCACAATGAACCTGCTGCTTGTCTGCTACAAACATAAAGGTCAGCACAGAAATTTTACAAAGAGGTAATTTAAAAAATAACCTGAGAATAATAAAAACACAACAAAAGTAGATATTTTAGCAATTTATTTATAAAATAAGTTATATATACGCATAACTATCAAATTAAAATACCACTTGCATACACTATCTGTGGACCTCTCCGACTGCGGTCCAACTTGCTTTCATTGGTAACTGCTTTGCCCCATCACAAGTCTGGTTTTAGCAGCACCTCTTAGACTACACCAACACTTACCCACTAGAACATAAACACGTCCTCCAATGTACTGACAAGTACAAGATATCAAGACCAAGATAAAGGATCCAATTACTACAAGAAGGAATACATTAATTCTGCAAACACCATGATCACTTTCTTCTTCCCTAGGTTGAAAATCGATCTTCAACCACTGCTGCACTCCACAAAATTTGTCACTTTTTTTTTTAGGTCTGCTGTTCAAAAAGAGGCAAATAAAAAAATATACTGGGACACAAGTTTAAAATTATGTAGGTATTTCATAGGAAATGTGCATGGAGTATTTGTGGGTTTCATTGAAATTGTTAGAAAAGCAAACTGTATAAAATACTGGTTTACCAGCCTACTGTTAATCTGATTCCATGTATTATAAAGATATAATGAACAATATAACAGGGAAAAAAAAATACTGATATCTTGATTACAGATCACAAGATGCACATGAGAATTTCAGTTAAATTACACACACACACGAGCATTTTCCTTATAGTAATTCAGTAGAACACATACAATAAATCTCTGAAATTTAACAGTCGGCAATAGACTCCGCATGTGTTTGCATAACAATACAATGAGGTATTCAGAAAGCATCACAAAAAAAGGGTTTTTTTTTTTACTTTAAAAAGAAAAAAAAAGATGCATGATACATCACGAAGAAAGAAAATGGAGAGTCTTGTCTTTTTATCTTAACTTTCTCGAATAAGTTGTTCCCTTTTTAGTACATGTAAGAAGCTGAAAACACTTAAATTAACTTCTTGTTAAGCGGTTAATGCAAGAATAGATTTGGTTTTAGGATTTTAATATGTGAGTGGGTCTAACTGAAAATGCCACAGCAGGCCTTGCTCACATTAAATGTATAACTTAGGTAAACACATGTATCCCTCTTTCAATTTTGTGATTTCATTATTTGTTTTTCTTTCCCCATTTACTCTGGAACTTTTCTTTTAGATGGTGGAAGGAGATGATATGGTAGGTCGTTTGGTAGCTCATGACCTTCTAGTTTGACCTTGATAAGATGATTGGCTAAAGCAAACTCCTCATCGTCCAGCAGTCCATCTTTGTCGATGTCTGCAAGCTTCCAAATCTTGCCCAGCACGGTGTTGGGCAGCTTGGACTTCACCATTTCTCTCTTGGCATTGGCACCAGTGACTTTTCCATTGACAGGAGATAATGTGTAAAAGATTTCATCATACATGGGCTTATCTCTTGACACTACCCAGTCAGCATCATCAATGCCTTCTCCAGCTCCTTCTCCATATCCATGCCCAAACGGCCCATTCTGGGTACCCTCAAATGCACCACCTTTGACCATTTGAACTGGTTTTTGAGTCTCTTCTTGCCTAACCAGGACCATCAGATGAGCAATGTCATGAGATAGCATTTCATCCACAGTCTCCAGGAGTTTACTCTTCAGTGGCTGGAACTTGTTGAAGTCTTGTGATTGCAAAAGATCCTGAAAGAAAGACCAAGAAAAATAGTGTTAATTTACTAGCCAACAGAGTCCTCATGGGTCCCGAAGTGATCCCTCCAAATGTTTTATCTGTACACCCTCTGGAAGAAGGCTGGGATTTCTTAAATCCAGAACCATTGATGGTGCATGCATTTAGAAATCAATGTAAATCACAGTAGTTTGTGACAAAATAGATTATATACTATAGCATTTAAAAAGCAGCCTAGTAATAAACATCATTTAGAAGCTGAAGCTGTATAAACAATTAGTAATCTTTTGCTTGTTAACAGATTAAATCCTTGATCACAATACTGCATTTCACAAAGGTTTCTAAATTTAAACAACTTTTTAATCAAAAGAGAAACATTTTTATTTGTGTATGTTTTGGACATCAAATTCATAGATGTACAGAGCTGTATGTAGTGTGTATTTCACATTGTTAGTTTAGACAATTGGGGTATTCTGTAATTTGTTGAAAAGTATGGCTTGTAATTTATAAAGTACGTTTGGTTGTTGAATGCAACAAGAGAAAAATAATGTTACAATGTGTTGATAAATCCTCTGGGGAATGATTGTTTGAATGTTTAACTTAAGCAATAGGGCTTCCTCTTTTGCTGACCAGATAATGGTAAAAGCTGTTGAAAAAGATCGGACCGGGATTTCGATCATTATGCCATTGTTAACAGCTCACTGGCAACTTAACATATTGATAACGATTATACAATAAAATGAGATTGAGGCCATACTTTCCAAAACCCACTGGCTATGCCACAGTAACTGCATCATTATTTGATCTGTAGCTGGAAGCTCCGTACGCTTGCCGCTGAGCAAGACTGAAACATGGGAAGAGACAGTTGGAACACATTAAGTTATGTTGCTACAAAATAGGTTCCATAGGTGACACTCATACCTGGATACATTAGAATTGTATCCAGGAGTCTCCTGGTTGGACAGATTACCAGACACTGCTGCAGCTAACAGAGCCTAAATGAGTATTCATAATCTTTTGTCCGATTCTGTTAATCTATTGAATGTGGCTGTAAGATCCTTCCCAACAAACAGTAGCCAACCAATTTTTGGAGCAAACAAATCTGATCTTCTTACATCACAAAGGGTCAAGGCAAAGACACCTCTAAAGTTCACCATTCTACTTGGAGTGATTTCATTTCTAAACATTAAGTATCAGGAGGATGAAAATATCAGACCATGTGATTGTGATATACTGTAACACCGTGCTTCACGACTATAAACAATTTTAACTTTTACCTCGAAGCACTTGGCCATTTGCCAGGGATGGAACTGAACTATCCTGTTTTCAAAAGACTATTTTAAAACTACCCAATATCTTTATCTTGAGCATAATGCCACCTGTAAGACGTAGAGCATTTTATGAGCAATACAATTTTAATAAGAATCCAAATATTGTTTTGCTGCGGATAGGGATTTTCCCACTGTGAGAAGCATAAGAGGCGTATATGACAACTTGCAGGTTAAGACTTCCTAATTTCACTAACAGGCATACATATCGCCTCTAATATGCCACCCTATTTTTTCTTGCGATGGTTGATACAACTGAAAAAATGATCGAGGAAACTTGGACAAAGACTTGATGGGATATGAAGAGAATTTGTCTCTAAATAATTTTTTATTTTTTTTTGAATACCAGAGCAAATACAGACTTTTGGAGAGGAACATATGTATAAATATATGAAATATTCGATTTTAATAAAGACATTCTACAATCCCACAGGCGTGTGAAGCGATTATTGAAATGACAAATGTAATGTGACAGTACAAACCATGAGGTTTATAAGAACAGCGCAGAGAGAACCCGGCATCTATTTTTAACACAGTCTATGGCAAAGTGCCTTTCATTTGTAAACGAGAAAACAAGTCTTCCAGTTTTGCTTTGTTTATTTTAGGGAACTATCCAAGAATTTTATAGCCAGAATATTTTATTCTCTGACTGTTGTATATGTATTAATCAAATTAATTATATTGTTGCCTAGCAGCAATCTCCATCTTTCGTAAATAAAATCTCTAAACATAAAATGTATTTGGCGACGGTCACTAAAGTAGTTTATTTAGATTCCAACACACTTAATGTGAACAGACCATGGAATGCCAGTATACACACACAGTGTACACGTGCCAGACAATGATCTCTCTCATATAGAGGTAGAATTTATTTTTCCAAATTGCTGTTATAAGGCAAGTATATATATACATACACACACACACACACACACACACACACACACACACACGGGGTAACACTGACAGGGGAACTCCTTTCAATACCATGTATGCAAGGAGCATAGGTTGCTATGGTGCTTGGAGCGGAGCTTCGCTCATTAAATTAATATATAAATTAATTTATTTTAATTCAGAGAGTTATTCACTAAAGGGAGAATTCAAAGTGAATTTCAAAGTTAAAGGAAAAGAAATGTTGCTACAATATACAGATTCTCTAAGATGGTTTATGCTCTCAGCTCAATTACTTTGGTGTATAATTTGCAATACACTTTGAATTCTCACTCTAGTTAATAACCCTGATAGTACCATTGTGTCAAACATATTCTGAACCAGATTCATTGTATCTCTAATGTAAAATGTCAAAAAAAATATAAATATAAATATATATATATATATATATATATATATATATATATATATATATATATATATATATATATATATATATATATATACACACACACACACACACACACACACACATACATACATAATACACACACACACACACACACACACACATATACATACATACATACTTTCATGTAGAGATTGTAACTGTATTGGTCCAGTGATGCAGAAGTAAAATAACAGATTAAATAAGTATCATGTAATACCTTTTTTATTGGACCAACAGAATATTTGAAAGACAAGCTTTCGGTAGAACCTCCCTTTCTCAAGCTTTAGACTTGCAATATAAAATAGTGATAACACTGCATGCACAGTTTCAAGAACACACTATGGTCTCCTCTGCCTGTATTCCTCAATATGAAATGGAGTATCAGGTCTGTCATGTAGCCAACTATTTTGTACATTAAGCCATACCTGGGCCAGGCTTGAATAGAGCCAATGCGGACTACCTGGAGGTGTGAGTGTACTCTGAGTATGTGCACACTAAAGGAACTGAGTGAATACGGTATGGAACCTTTCTAATCTTTAAAGGACAATCTGGGCATTATAACCACTAACGATATCTTAAAGGTTATGGCATTAGGAGTATCCCTGTCTCCATCCCACGGTAAATAGGCATTCTATTTTTGGATGGTTTAATCTATAGCTGGGTCTAGCCTGTTCTTTTTATTGCACTAAAGCACAAGTTCCTACATCAATTCCATACACTCAGATGGAATTACAGCTTAGAAAACAAATATTATTTGTGGATAGTGAGGAAGAACAGCAATGAAACATTAACAAGGATAGGAATCGTTAAGCCGTACCTGCATCTTCTTTAAGTTTGGAAAGTCGCCTGGAGAAATCTGGTGCTCTCGCTCAATTCGGGAATAAATCTCTCCCAAACTAGCAATCAGCTCCTTCTTCTTATTGTCTTTGCCAAACACTGATGGCATTTCCTTCTTCAGAGAACTGATGATGTACGCATGGACCTTCGATTAAGACAGAATAAATATTGCAGATTAATAACCTGCTAATTAATGCTTAAAATTCATGTCAAGAGACTTGCCTTGAGAGGCTAGAAACTCATTTTTGAGGCACATAACTGATATCACAGCATAAAAATTTGCTTAGAAAAATACAAGGATTTTCAGGAAAAGTTATTTTTGTACAAAATATTTTGTAGATCATACAGGCAATGCTAGATTCTACTTGTTTATCAACTGATAATCTAACCTTTTATCTAAAATTGACATTTAGAGAGATTTTTTTGGATTCCCTTTGATTTATGAAATATGCACAACATAATCACTCATATAGGGCCACTATGGAAAGCAAATAACCCTAATTATTTATTATCGGCTAGCTATTCCTTCCTGACAGCTCAGAGCTGTTCTGTCTCCATCAACAGCTGATTATTAAATTAGTACAAATATGGGTCCAAGATTCTTTGTGAAAGCAATATCTGGATCGAGTGGACTCATACAAGCACAGCCTGGCTCAAACGATGTACTTTGAGGATTTGCACTATAGACAAATGATTTGGCCAAACATCCTTGCACTTAAACTAGCTCCCCATTGTCAAGGGTGCTCATATAATTTTTTTTATTTGCAACTAAAACTGCTTTGCAGTGTGGACCATTTACATATTGCGGTCTGTAATCAGAACGTATGTTTTAACCGTCATGTTCTTTCGACAATGTTTAAAGTTTTACTTGTATCCTTGTTAACATAGGTGTTGATGATGCATAACAATACAACTGAGGTCTATAAATCTTTTCTAATTAATTATTATTTTTTTTGTAATAATCTTAAACCTACTACAAACTGGTGTGTTATGCATTTAATTCAATTACAGTTGAATCAAGGTAATGGAGTCAATATAAGGGCATATGAATATTTAATACACATATGCACCACAATAATGATATGACACTGTCTAATTTATTATTAAACATCTTCCAGCAACTAACTGAAGGGGTGAGATCATCACGAAAGGCTGAATTTAGTAATGTATTCAGGAAATACCAAACACAAATAATGGGTAATGTGCATAAGCTCCAACAAGTCAAAATATTTTAAAAATAGCAGCTATTTGACGTTACTATTTATACAAGAAAAAAAAATTAAACAGCCCTCATACCCCCCCCCCGTGAATTTTTGACCTTACTCCCTAATCAACAGAATCTCGCTGATTTCCTGATCATGCACTTCTGATTGACACCAATTCACCCATCATTCGTTTAGAAAGGATGCTATTTTGGGAAAACATTTTTTGTCTGTTTGTACATATACGTTTTAAAGTGTTTAAGTGTTGAAAGAAGTATGTTTTAGGTTTGTTTACATTATACTTTTGGAATTGACTAATAATGTCACTAGTGCCGGTCACATCTGCTTTCTCGCTGCTGAAAACGGCAACTTGATCTTATTTATATTTTAGTTTGTAGCATCCAAATATACGAGGTATATTTTTGGAACAGACGTGTAAAAATAGAAATATATGTTGCGTTACAACACAAGTAATTCCATATTCCTTTGACTATTTCCAGACACCAAATTAATTAGCTTTGGAAAGCCAACTGAAGACACAACATGCTTAAAGGGATCCTGTAGTGCCAGAAAAAAAAAAAAAAAAAAGCAGTTTTCCTGGCACTATAGAGTTAATAGGTCCTACCCTGTCCCTCGGGGCCCCCCTCCCATGGGGCTGAAGGGGTTAAAACTAATTATGACAAAGGTTTTGGTTTGGCAAATCCCTTTAAGGATGCCTTGAAAAAACATCTGCCATATAGGTGCTTAAAATGTGTTATAAAATGCACCTTGAAGAGACCATTTGAGTCTTTGTAAGCAATTCTTGTTATGATTTTGAGAACTAGTACATAGTTAAACTTCCAATTGGTAAAAATATTAATGTGCGGCCCTCAGACCGGTGATTCGCCTTACCTTAGCGAGGCGTGCTCTCTTTATCAGGTCGTTAAGTTTCCTTAGGGCAGCATTTCGTGGAAGACTTTGAATATCTCTAAACAGATCTTGCTCTTCAGCCTCAAAGAGTTTGCGATTGTCAGGAATGAGAAGCGGGTGAGACCAAAACGACCCAATGTAGACTCTGATCACCTCTGGAGTGTTCACAATCTTTCCCAAAGACCACATAAGTGCACCGTAAACTCTCATCAGTTGCTGGGTCTCAATCTGGTCGGCTTTATTAAGGACGACGCGCATTTTGTCTTCATGGTTCTTAAGGGCTTTGATGACTTCTGAGAACTCGTCTGAGATATCCAGTTTATGGGCATCAAAGAGGAGAATAATTCGATCAACTCTCTCAGCGAACCATTCAAGAACAGCAGCGAAATCATAGCCTAGGAAATAAAAAGAAGATAAAAAATGAATCAGGACATTTCCAAATTATTACCATTTATAATGAGTAAACAATATTTACAGAAATATTGGAATAACCTTCAAAATTATTGGTAAGAAAATAAGTGTGTGAACCGGGGAGCGGGAGTTTTCTAACTTTACTCATATGCCTTTCTTTCCGACACTCTTTTTAGTCCAGACACATTACAGTTAATACAGGACATGCAATGGAAGGCCATAGATTGGCTGAGAGATCTTGTCCATTTCTTGTTTAAAGCAGATGTTAGAATCCATAAAAGTATTTTCCCTCATCATGAAAAAGGATTTGGCAAACTGCTTCAGATCGTAGCTATGCTAACCAAGTCATCTTGGGTTATAAAAGAAGTGTTGGCAAAATGCACCAAATAAGTCAGGTTAGACATTTAAATATGGTAAAATATTTTTATTAAAAGAAACACTACCACCCCCACAGCAACTTAAAGGGACACTCCACTGAATAAATAAAAATCCCGGTTTAGAAGATACAGTCTAAATGAAAACAAGCATGCCTTTAATTATGCAATATTTTCATTGGGGGTAAATAAAAAATAAATAAAAATACTTGTAGAAGATGCAGATCATAGACTTCGCATTGCAGCTTAATGAGAAGTCTTTGCAAGGCAGGTGCTCTGGGCAATTGTTGCCTCTTGAGTTTAGCTCCACTGAGCTAATCAAACCAGGAAGTAACAGGACCAGCTGTCTGATTGACAGCCTGGGGAGGGGTGTAACAAGGTTAATTTATAAACGTGCCAGATTCTATTTACTGAGGTTTTTGTAAAATGAAAATAAATTAAAACATTAAAGCTTATGTGCTGTAGGGGTCTGGGTTATCCCTTTAAGCTCATTTAATATTGCAATTGTTTAACCCCAAAGTTGGGTCTTCAGCTCCTGACACCGCTGACCTAAACTTTCCTGCAATATTCGGGCGTTACAAGGGGTGAGGGGGTGTTGCCAGCGGCTGGAGACCCTAAAGGGGTCCTAGAAGGTTCTGGATCTGATATTAGCAGAAAAGGTTAACAGAAAACATGATTGCGCCCTGCAATCTGATTTTGATGCAACTTCAAACATTAAAAATGAAACATTTCAATGTGTACGGCATATGCTTTTTGGCTGAATTTCCGGTTAAGAGATTGTTAAACTGGTTATATGGATGAAATTAAGTCACAGAAATCAAATGCATTTTAAGGAGACAAAACAACAAAATCTTAATCCTAGTTTAACGATTTCACTAAAATTACATATACACACACATTTTTTTTCCCATTCTAACTTTGGATATACTGTATGAATACAAATAAAAACAGCTCTACCCACAGAACAGACCTCCATAATCAAACAAACAATCTGGTTTTAATGTTCATAAAATAAATTATTAAAACTGACTTCTAATTTAAACCATTAGTGGTATTTAATAGAATGTTAACTTGAAGCAGGTTTTATTAAAGCACAGCATTGGCTGGTTAAAAAAATAAAAATAAAACGAACAAGTTCGAGCTATTTAGAATTAAAGAAATCAAAATCCAATCAATCACTCGAATCCCAAGGTTACTGATACGGAAAGGTCAGGGCTCTGAGATCACATGAACGAATGTCCGCCCTGCCTCTAACACTTCCCTTCTCTTATCCAGAACACTTCCTCGGTCAGCATTCGAAGAATAAGAATGTGACAATCTGTCCATTCCGTGTGGTTTCATTGCAGAACTTTCTACTTTTTTCCCCACTCTGTTTTTAATTTTTTGCTACAGCTGATGCTCACATCTGGCGTATATACGACTATCCTGAGTCAAGGCAGGGAGTCCCCTCTCGTTCCCTCGGATACTCTTCAAATGACATTGTGCCTTGTTTTAATATCCTGCTAATTATATCTCAACATTCTGAAACAATTAGCAAATGTACAGTCAAAGAGCTGTCTTTGGTTTTTACTGTATGTATTGGGGCTGATGTGTACTATGGTCGTTGCTGCCGCCTAGGAGTGATGGGAGTTTGAGTGCATGACCTGTTTTTTGTCTTTGCATTCACTTTTGTATCACACAGCTATGTTACAATGCTGCCGCCCATCCCATGTGTTCCTTATTAGGGGTCAATAAGTATATAGGGGTGTATATAAAAAATACCCCTCTCTGTCTCAGAGATATCTTTGCCAGAAGCTCAAGGAAGCAAGGTGAAAGGTTAGTCTAGGACACACCTGAGAGTCTTGCCTTGACGTGGCAGGTGGGCTAAAGTCTCTCATGGCCATTGGAGTAACTGTAAAACCTCCATGTGTTTAAATACACATAGGGATTTGGGAAGAGCACAGGTAACTTTTCTAGTGCTGATGTGCACTATGGTCGTTGCTGGCGCCCAGGAGTGATGGGAGTTTGAGCGCAGGACATTGTCTAGTAAATATAACGACTTAACATGCTAGGTATCAGTCAGTCCCCATATGACGGTGAATTATAAGAAGGATCACCATAGGCTTGAACTAGCATTCGTAGTAATGGCCATATCGGAGGAGCAGGAAAGGAAACATATCTTTTAATCTATAAATTTTCTGGTAACCATAGATGATGATATGTATACATACCTGAAGTTGACATAATTTTGATAAAATAATGTTGTTTTGGTGCCATTATATTGCAGGCCATTGCCAACCCGAGACACAACATGGCTGCCATTTGACAACAAATGGATTAACCGGTGTGTGGCGCCAAATAATGGTGCGATTTTGTCAAACCAATTAGGAGCAGTTTGACAAAATCTGGGGATCTCAGCCTGTCATAATTATCCAAGTTAGGGATAATTTAGAGGTTTATATTCAGCGTGGTGAAGTTGGCTTTGGGTTTTTCATGCCATTCCCAAATATTCTTTTTAAAAATGGGGTACGGTAACGTCGCTGTACCAGAACCACTGCAGTATTATGCTGCTTCAGACTGCTCATTTGTCATAAAGGATAGATTAAACAGACCGAGAACATATGGCTCTCTAGCTGGTGGGATTTAGCTCATACCGGCGCAGTATTAAAATGTAATCTAAGCTCACTGAAGGGAATTATGGAGTATATAAGTCAAATGAGTCACTGCTAGCTAAACATCTAGAGGAAAGGTTCACAAATTGCCGATAGAACTCCGCAAAAGATTTTAAACAGGAACCTCTGACATTTTTATAACGGAATATTTTATTTTTAACCGGTGTACTCACTTCAGGAAATGACCATCTAAAGTCTTTAACATTTATATAGGATGTCACAATTTTATTATATACAACCAAGAATGACATGCAATTATATATGTTTAGATGAAGACATGACAAAATAATTTTTGGCAAAAATAACTGAGAAAAAAAAAATAAAAAAAATAAAATTTCACCCACTACTTTTTAAATCCGAATATAATATCAGTTATAAATACAAACTAAGATTATTAGGACTTCTTAAAATATAATAAATATAAAAATTACTCTGACACTTTTTTTTTTTAACCAGGTAGATATTTTGAGAATGTTTATACAATAGCAGCCTTTTCCTTTTTTGTGCGTGTGTGCAGAGTAAAATAGTTTTATTTTTTAGCGTGTTAGTCATTTATACAATCAATTTAACTATTCAGAACTGAACGACAGGCAATATCAGCCATTAATAATAGCTGGAGCTCTCTGGCCAGAGCGAGCGCTGTAGATAAAATCTTTTGTTTGGCCGCTCGCGCCCTCATTGGGGTGAGAACACGAGTTATGTTAGTGTTCCAGAAGTGGTTCTCTACAATCCAACTGTGTAAACGGTCAGAGCCTGATCACTTTAAACAAAGCCAGAGATAATACAGTCCTGCTGGCTTTTTACATAAAAGAATAGGCACATTGCCTGGATTTAGTGCCGTGCACAGCTGGATTAATAACCTTTATACATCCTGATCCTAAAATGTTTACGCAGCAATACTTCTCATTTCGTTCCCATTTGCTAAATTATTGACCAATAGTTCCTCCCAGAGAGCTATGGGCAGGGCCGGTGCTAGGATTTTTGACTACACAGGCGAAGATGCATTTTGACGCCCCCCCCCCCCCAAAAATAAATAAACAATGCATCTTCACCTCTGTGTCTCGTAGCCCCCTTTTGAATTTCTTACCCCCATTAGTGTTGCATATCCACTCTCTTGAATGTCTTACCCCTTTGGCCCCTTTGTGCCTTACACCCCCCTTTAGTGTGTCTCCTACAACCCCTCTTATGTATTTCTTACTTCCCCGCCAGCCCCTTTCTGTCTCTTTCTTCCCTCCAATCCCTATCTATCTCTCTTTTTCTCCCACATAGACATAGATACAGGCAAAAATACATACATGCACAAATACACAAACATACAGACACACAACCATACAAGCACACAGACATAATTTTTCAGGCACACAGTCACAAAGATATACAGACACACAGTCATAAAAGGCACACAAACAAACACAGTCATACAATCTACACATACAAGTACATTGTCGTACAAACACAGACATACATTCATACAGACACAGGCACTCACAGAAATACATACACAGACATAAAGAAACAGAGATAGGCATACAGAGACATACATACACAGACAAACAAAGAACCCTGCACACTGACACTGTGTAAATGCTCCGGCCATCTACAGAGGTGGATGCTCCATGTCAGGCAGACATTGCTGGATCCACCAGTAAAGTCTTCAAAAGGAATAAACGCAGGCAACACTCCAATAGTAAGGATGGTATATTTATTGGTAGATGAACCACCCCATAGAAAGTGTGATGTTTCAGCTCATGCAATAAGGCTCTGCTGAGCCGAAACAACGCACTTTCTTTGGGGTGGTTCACCTATCAATAAATATACCATCCTTACTATTGGAGTGTTGCCTGCGTTTATTCCTTTTGAATACATTTACACAGTCATACAGAGACATACATGGTGTATGTCTCTGTATGACGGTCTGTGTATGTACACAGGATGGCTAAAAGATAGACCCCCATCTGTCGTGCAACTTCAACAATGCTTTGAAAGCTGGGGCTCTACCGATTCCCCATGCTTGCAGGATTGTATTTAGCATGGAGCAGTATTTGTGTGTTTGACTGTAAGCATGTGTTTGTATGGAGTATGTTTGTATGATTGTAGCGGTGTGTTTGTATGTAGTGTTTGCATTTGAATGCAAGCATGTATTTATGTGTAGTGTTGGTTTTTGAACGCAGGTGTGTGTTTATATATAATTTTGGTGTCTGATACAGAGGTGTGTTTGTATGTAGTGTTGACATTTGAATGCAGGGGTGTGTTTGTATGTAGTGTTGACGTTTGCATGCAGGTGTTTATTTGTGTGTAGTGTTGTGTTTGAATGCTGAGATATATGCACATATACACATACACTGCCACACACGCACACACTGTGATACACATATACAAAGATACACACACTGACACATGCAGATATACATATACACAAACTGATACACATTCAGATAGACACACAGGTACACACAAACACTGACAGACATACAGATAAACACACAGTGACAGACACACATACACAATGATAGGGAAGAAGACATACTAACAGACAGACACACACACTAACAGACATTTAGATACACACAGACACACGGACAGAGACATATACATACACACACACACTGACAGACATGGATACACACACACACTGACAGACATAGATACACACACACACACTGACAGACACACACACACACTGACAGACATAGATACACACACACTCACTGACAGACATATACACACACACTGACAGACAGACATATATACACACACACACACTGACATATACACACACACACACTGACAGACATACACACACACTGACAGACATATATACACACACACACACTGACAGACAGATACACACACACTGACAGACATATACACACACAGACACACTGACAGACATACACACACACACTGACAGACATAGATACACAGACACACTGACAGACATACACACACACACACTGACAGACATATACACACACACTGACAGACATATACACACACAGACACACATAGATGCACACAGACACACTGACAGACATATACACACACACTGACAGACATATACACACACAGACACACTGACAGACATATACACACACACTGACAGACATATACACACACACTGACAGACATATATACACACAGACACACTGACCAACAGGTTCAGAAGGGGGGCTTACCTGGGATCCAAAGTGCTGCCTGAGGTAGTTGGGAGTTGGAGGAGCTGGTCCTGCCCAGCCCCCTCCTCTCTGCCTTCTGCTGCCCTAGTCTTGTTGGGAGGACTTCCTCCCATGCTGATTAGAAGGGGGCCCGTAGCTCCGCCCCTGCTGGGCGCCAGCCGCGCTGTGTGCTACAGAGGGAGCAGGGATATGACGTTCATATCCCCGCCCCCTCCACACAGTCCGCGGCACTGCAGGGTGGCGCTCGGCCACGCTACAAGAAGTGACCGGCAGGAGAGGGGAGCGGTGCGCTTCTCTCCTGCCGGCCACCCGGACATTTGCGCCCCCGGGCCGGTGCGCCCTAAGGCGGCCGCCTGTGCCGCCTTATGGACGCGCCGGCCCTGGCTATGGGATAGAACAGCTGTAATAGAATATCCTGAAACTAGGGAAAGTATAGTTACAAGAGTGCCCTCTCTCCCCTTAAAGGAACACTCTGGGCACCATAGCAACTTCAGCAAAATTAAGTTATGGTGCTAGGAGACTCCTTTTTAGGGTTTAACCCCCAAATCGATGTTCCAGCACTGAATCTCTGTGTCCTTCTGTTTGCTCAATTTCTGGAAACCCTTCAGGCAACATTGGGGAGGGGCATGTTGATTGGCTGAGAGCTGCCAGCTGACACACTAGCCAGAGACTTGCCATTCATAAAACCAGCTTGAAAAGGGTATGTGTCCCTCAGTCAGGGCCGGCGCGTCCATAAGGCGGCACAGGCGGCCGCCTTAGGGCGCACCGGCCCGGGGGCGCAAATGTCCGGGTGGCCGGCAGGAGAGAAGCGCACCGCTCCCCTCTCCTGCCGGTCACTTCTTGTAGCGTGGCCGAGCGCCACCCTGCAGTGCCGCGGACTGTGTGGAGGGGGCGGGGATATGAACGTCATATCCCTGCTCCCTCTGTAGCACACAGCGCGGCTGGCGCCCAGCAGGGGCGGAGCTACGGGCCCCCTTCTAATCAGCATGGGAGGAAGTCCTCCCAACAAGACTAGGGCAGCAGAAGGCAGAGAGGAGGGGGCTGGGCAGGACCAGCTCCTCCAACTCCCAACTACCTCAGGCAGCACTTTGGATCCCAGGTAAGCCCCCCTTCTGAACCTGTTGGTCAGTGTGTGTGTATCTATGTCTGTCAGTGTGTGTGTGTATCTCTGTCAGTGTGTGTGTATATGTCTGTCAGTGTGTCTGTGTGTGTATATGTCTGTCAGTGTGTGTGTATATGTCTGTCAGTGTGTCTGTGTGCATCTATGTGTGTCTGTGTGTGTATATGTCTGTCAGTGTGTGTGTATATGTCTGTCAGTGTGTGTGTGTGTATGTCTGTCAGTGTGTCTGTGTATCTATGTCTGTCAGTGTGTGTGTGTATGTCTGTCAGTGTGTCTGTGTGTGTATATGTCTGTCAGTGTGTGTGTATCTGTCTGTCAGTGTGTGTGTGTGTATATATGTCTGTCAGTGTGTGTGTATGTCTGTCAGTGTGTGTGTGTGTATATGTCAGTGTGTGTGTGTGTATATATGTCTGTCTGTCAGTGTGTGTGTATATGTCTGTCAGTGAGTGTGTGTGTATCTATGTCTGTCAGTGTGTGTGTGTGTCTGTCAGTGTGTGTGTGTGTGTGTGTATCTATGTCTGTCAGTGTGTGTGTGTATCCATGTCTGTCAGTGTGTGTGTGTATGTATATGTCTCTGTCCGTGTGTCTGTGTGTATCTAAATGTCTGTTAGTGTGTGTGTCTGTCTGTTAGTATGTCTTCTTCCCTATCATTGTGTATGTGTGTCTGTCACTGTGTGTTTATCTGTATGTCTGTCAGTGTTTGTGTGTACCTGTGTGTCTATCTGAATGTGTATCAGTTTGTGTATATGTATATCTGCATGTGTCAGTGTGTGTATCTTTGTATATGTGTATCACAGTGTGTGCGTGTGTGGCAGTGTATGTGTATATGTGCATATATCTCAGCATTCAAACACAACACTACACACAAATAAACACCTGCATGCAAACGTCAACACTACATACAAACACACCCCTGCATTCAAATGTCAACACTACATACAAACACACCTCTGTATCAGACACCAAAATTATATATAAACACACACCTACGTTCAAAAACCAACACTACACATAAATGCATGCTTGCATTCAAATGCAAACACTACATACAAACACACCGCTACAATCATACAAACATACTCCATACAAACACATGCTTACAGTCAAACACACAAATACTGCTCCATGCTAAATACAATCCTGCAAGCATGGGGAATCGGTAGAGCCCCAGCTTTCAAAGCATTGTTGAAGTTGCACGACAGATGGGGGTCTATCTTTTAGCCATCCTGTGTACATACACAGACCGTCATACAGAGACATACACCATGTATGTCTCTGTATGACTGTGTAAATGTATTCAAAAGGAATAAACGCAGGCAACACTCCAATAGTAAGGATGGTATATTTATTGATAGGTGAACCACCCCAAAGAAAGTGCGTCGTTTCGGCTCAGCAGAGCCTTATTGCATGAGCTGAAACATCACACTTTCTATGGGGTGGTTCATCTACCAATAAATATACCATCCTTACTATTGGAGTGTTGCCTGCGTTTATTCCTTTTGAAGACTTTACTGGTGGATCCAGCAATGTCTGCCTGACATGGAGCATCCACCTCTGTAGATGGCCGGAGCATTTACACAGTGTCAGTGTGCAGGGTTCTTTGTTTGTCTGTGTATGTATGTCTCTGTATGCCTATCTCTGTTTCTTTATGTCTGTGTATGTATTTCTGTGAGTGCCTGTGTCTGTATGAATGTATGTCTGTGTTTGTACGACAATGTACTTGTATGTGTAGATTGTATGACTGTGTTTGTTTGTGTGCCTTTTATGACTGTGTGTCTGTATATCTTTGTGACTGTGTGCCTGAAAAATTATGTCTGTGTGCTTGTATGGTTTGTGTGTCTGTATGTTTGTGTATTTGTGCATGTATGTATTTTTGCCTGTATCTATGTCTATGTGGGAGAAAAAGAGAGATAGATAGGGATTGGAGGGAAGAAAGAGACAGAAAGGGGCTGGCGGGGAAGTAAGAAATACATAAGAGGGGTTGTAGGAGACGCACTAAAGGGGGGTGTAAGGCACAAAGGGGCCAAAGGGGTAAGACATTCAAGAGAGTGGATATGCAACACTAATGGGGGTAAGAAATTCAAAAGGGGGCTACGAGACACAGAGGTGAAGATGCATTGTTTTTTTTTGAGGGGGGCGTCAAAATGCATCTTCGCCTGTGTAGTCAAAAATCCTAGCACCGGCCCTGCCCTCAGTATGCTTTATAATACCTCCCAAGTGTCCCTATTTATGAATGATAGTCTGAGAATCATATAATTTTGTACCTCTCTTGTACCATGCTATTTAAAAAAAAAAAAAAATAAAAAAAAAATAAATAAATAAATAAATAATTTTTTTACTGGGAGTGCAATCAGTTTGAAATATTGAAAAAATTTTTTTTAAAAACACAAACAAAAATAAACCACCACCAGATACCAAAACCTGCCACTATTTTGTAAGAAAAGGGCAGATTAGTTAATTAGGCGGCCATCTTTCGGTTGGTTACCTCACAACACTGATTCGAGAAAATCAACTTCCTGTAAGCTCATGTGGGTTATATATATTGATGTACAGGTGACCTAGGGGTTTCCCAAAAGTGTGACTTCACAGAGCTGTGATGGAGAATATGGTCAGGGCACCCTGGGTTTGCCACTGGATAAGAAAAGATGGAGATCTTATATTTAACTTCTTTAAAACCAAAAGCCTTATAAAACAAGTTAATATAGCATTGGGAAAAGTAGCCAGGTAGTATTATTGAATTTCAGCAAATGGTCAGTAGAGGTTACATTTTCAGGTGTTAACCATAAAGTTCATGCATATATTGGGCAATCTGTATTGATGGACAATAAGCTCTCATCATAACAGACCGAGGGAGGTTGATGAGAGCTTCGGGGCTACACACAGAGGGAAGCATTTGAAAAGCCGCAAAAGCCTTTTTAGTGCTTTTGAATACCTCCATATGAACATCGATGGCGATCACTATAACCACTGTCTTTTTCTCGCTCTGAACAAGAAAAAAAAATAAAAAAAATACAAAAACACACACATAAAGACAAATTGGGTGAAGCATGCAAGGCATTCAGAGTCTGACATGTCAAGGCCAGGTGATCTGATCATTAACTGGAGAATGGCTAACCGTACTACGTAATATATACTGTGTGATATAGCAGTGTTTTTAATTAATAACTAGGATATTGATGCTCTAGAAAGAGTTTTCATAAAAGTAATAATAATAATGCTTCAGAACATAAAATAGATTGTGGGTGGTGCACTAAGCTAGAATAGCTGTACATCAATTTTATCAGAGGTTTTAATACGCTGTGCAAATTGCGTGTAACTTGCAAAGTATACCACTGAAAGAAAATTCCTGTTTCATGACTGCATACTTTGTCTTTGTATCAATTAGCAATGATAGGACAATGATATTGTAGGAGAAACTAGTGTACAAGGGACAACACAGACGTACATCGACCACACACGGATACACTGTTTCTCGTTGCAGGTATTCTCAAACTATTGGCATTAGGTCATTTTTATGGTAAAGTGACAGTTTAATTATTTGAGTACTAGAGGTGAGCCCCACACACACGGCAAAGTATCAAAATATTATACAATAAAATCTATACAGCAGCTTCCGCAATTAATTTATTATGATTTGTACATTAATCAGGAACATCGCAATTCCAACTGTTGCCTTTTATAGTTGGAAAACGTAAATAGATGTAAATGAAATAAGATGCATGTAACTAGCTTAGAAAGAAAAAAAAAAAAAAATGCACCGACTCAGCTTGGCATTAGCTGAAATAACTGGAGGTTTATCAATAATATAAGCACTAAATATATGGAGGTATAAATATAATTGAGCAATAATTAACACTCCAGATAATCCCAGTTTATAATACATCAACATTCTAGCAAAGGAAATAAAATACTACATAAGGTTGGACAAGATCGCTTTCTGCAGTGGAATTTTTAAAATAAATGGAATAGCTGAAATATTTCCACATTAAAAAAAGCCTAGATAAACCATGCACAGTCTTCATGCGCGTGTTGAATCCTGATGGACAGTCATCTCTTATCTAGATAGTGAAGCACAGATAAGCTGGCACAGTGTTTGAATTCCGCTGCAGGCGAACCCAACACCTCATCCCTCTGTCAGCAGTCTTCTGGTATCCTTTACAGTTATTTCGAACCATTGCACTCCTCATCCACTAAAAATGTACACAACATCCACCAAACTCCATATCTCGAATAAATAAATACAAAACACATTTATCTTACTATATTCTGGTCTCGCCCTAGTTGCAATCTTTAGAGGACTTTCTCACTGGTTGCCTTATCTGTGTTATCCTATTAACCCCTCTGACTGTAGCAGAATATAGAGGTCTTACTCCACAACTTGTCCTCCAATTATTAAGTTCTAACTATTCTACAATTCGATGTGATGCGTTCTGGAATTATTGCATTGAAGTTATGAATTACCCATCTGGCAATCCCTTTCTGGATACACTGTAATTACTAACCCAAGCTTATTTTACACTGTGATATAGATCGAACACTGATCAGCCACAATAAAACCAGACAGGTGAAGAGAATAACATTGATAATACGGTTATAATGGCACCTGTCAACGGGTGGGATATATTAGGCAATAAGTGAACAGTCAGTTCTTGGATTTCATCTGTTGGAAACAGAAAAAATAGGCAGGTGAAAATTAGTACCTACTAAAAGTGGTGCAAGGAAGGACAACCAGTGAACCGGTGTCCGGGTCATGGGCACCCAAGGGAGTAAAGGTTGTGGGAAGTGAAGGCTAGCCATATGGTCCTATCACACAGATTAGCTACTGTAGCTGAAATTGATGAAAAACAAAAAGACAAACAACTTATTTTGGCCATTGTAGAAAGGAGTCAGAACACACAGTTTGCAGCGTACGTGGCTGTGTAGCTGCAGACGGGTCAGAGTCTGAACGATGACAATTGTCCATTGCTGAAAGCGCCTTCAATGTGGATGAGAGCATCAGAACTGGACTAGCCTGGTCTGATGAATCAAATCTTCTTTTAGAACGGGTGGATGGGTAGGTGCAGGTGTGTTTACTTGGGGAAGAGATGGCAGCAGGATGTAAAAAAAGACAAGCCAGCATATGCAGTATTATGCTCTGGGCGATGTTCTGCTGGGAAAACTTGGGTCCTGCCATTCATGTGGATGTTACTTTGACACATATCACCTACCCAGAGATTTATGCAGACTATGTACACCCCTTCATGGCAATGGTCTTATTCAGCAGTGTAGCGAATCCTGCCACACTGCGAGAAAAGGGTCAGGAACAGTTTGGGGAAGATGACAAACAGTTAACGTTGTTGCCTTGGATTCCAAATTCCCCAGACTATTATTCTATGAGCCTCTGTGGGATGTGCTGGAGCAACCAACCCGGTCCATGGAGGCCCACTTCACAACTTACAGGACACATTCAGAGGAAGAAAACAAAATACCTTTTCTTAGCCAGTCTATCAGGGTTGATATCTTCAATTGCCACCATCAACTGTGACTTGTAGCTGAATGGTGGTTAACCCGAGAATAACTGATGGAATAACTGTCCGAGCATCATGGGAAGTTTTTTGCACAAACATCGGCCGTTCTAGACTAGCCATTGCTGCTCAAGCTCTGCAGATCCAAACTGACAGTGACATTCTATTAAAGGCTCACCCTAAGCACCATTCTCCCTGCAAACATGTGTTTAGAGACATTGCAATGGAACTGCTCATTATCCCTCACACCCCTGCTTGACAAGGCTTTATTGGAGAAGACCGGATCCCATAGACCATAATGAGATGCTCCAGACATTAGGTCTGATCCTGCTTAGGGAGTTGCCAGCCTCTAGCTGTGGGCAGACTCATTAAGTGCTGCATCTGCAAGGGTCGTTGTTAATAGTATATATATTTATATCAGGAATTAAAAATAGAAGAGTTTCATCCTATAGTTTCCATTTAAAACGTAGACACCTGGAAAATGTCGATTACCTGGATATCGAATATACAGTATAAATGAGAGACGAGAATATGACGACTCGTATCAAGCAATGAGTACTAGGTGAGTCTACTGAGGTCCTATACAAAAAAAAAACAAAAAAAAACCCCTTTCTGTTCAAGGAGTATACTTGCAGCAAATGTTTTTTCCCCACATACTGAGATGGATAGTTTGCTTATCGTAGTTTATAGTTGGATATAAAATAAAAATACGTTTTATAAATTTATTCCAGCTACAATCATTGAATTTTTTTTTTTTTTTTAGAATGTTCTCCAGCTATAATTTCTGAAATAAACTCAGGGAGTTAATGAAGTCATAGATACATTCTTACAAACTAGCTGAAGCCGGATAATGGGAATTTTAGTCTTTAGGTTTCAGGTAGAGTGCGTGCAACCAGGACTGTCATGCTTACTACAAGTAACATTAATTCAAATGAAGAAGAAAGACACACTAACAGCACTGTAGAACACAATGGGGTCTTTAAAGGGCACATTCTGATGTAGCAACAAATCCCAGCTTCTCTCTGCACCCGTCCTTTGATCCACAGATTGCGTTCTCCGCAGGTGCAACAATAACATTAAGATCAGGTCTGGTGTCTGTGTTCTGCTTCCCAGGACAGTAAACACAGCTGAAGGATAAAAGGTAGTTTGCAACAGAGCAGGCGCACATAATTAATTGTGCCCTGGATGGCGAATTCTACTGCCAGCACAGAAGGCAGTAATGCGTTGATGAGAAATGAACCCAGGATGGAAAATTACAGAACAAGCCAAATACCCTGACTGAAAAGGTTATATTATCAGATTTCTTGGGTATTACAATAACCTTCGCCCGCGAAAATATATTGAGTTTCCTATAATATGTGTTTATTCCTTAACTTGTGTTTCGCAGCAAAATTATATTTGAAACATTTCAGAAAGTAGCTCTGAGTAAACGCACATTATGGAGCCACAAAATAACACTGCAATGATTGTAAGGGTATTTGACCAGGTTTATCGATAAATGTGCAAAATATACCCAGTCACCACAGTCATCAATTGAAACGTTCTTCTCACCAGTTTAACAAGCTCGGCATCTGGTGGCTTGAACTCCACCAATTCTTAAAATAAGTCTAATCCGGTATTCTCTAAACTTTTTTCAACTTGTCCACAGGACCCACCAAAACACCAGAAATGTATAATATCCCTGCTTCAGCACAGGTGATGGGATGATTGACCACCTCACTAAGATAATGTGGTCTGGGTTAGGGATGTGCATGGGCAAAAAATTCAGTTCGGTTCAGCACGGCACTTCTGAAATTCGGGACTTCCGAAATTCAGCAATTCCCTAAGCCTAACCTAAACCCCAACCTAAACCCAACCCCCAAAGATACTAGGGTTATGGGTAGGGTTAGATTCCGGTTATCATTTCCCTAATTTTCCCTCCCTCTACTGTTTTGCCACTTTGCAGAAATCCGAAGCACTTCGGAAGCACCCGAATGTCCAAATTTAAATTTGAACCGAAACGAATTGCATATGTCTAGACTGCGTGACTATAGTGTTTAATAAAAACATATTACATAGCTTTACTTCGTAAGAAAAATGCGAGAAAAAAAAAAAAACCAGAGGAAAGAACTTAGATTTTCAATATTATTAAACTTGGATTTTCCCTATAGTTAACAAATATGTATATGTACTGTGTGAAAAAACAAAAAAAGAAACAACTGTGTTTCTGTGTCTTACTGATTTGAAACAGTCGCCCTGTCTAAATCTTTAATATAAATCTGACAAAAAAATAAATAAATCGGTGCATCACATGAAAATCTGTTAGCGCCTGTTCTACCTGATTTTCTATGTTTTCTTGAAAGGAGTAAAGTGATGGTTCCTCTTTAATTAAGTAAAATGCATTCATAGTTAAAATCAGTTAATCTACTCTTAACTGCACGGAGTCAAGAATGTGGACAGAGGGCAAAGTCACAGGGTTACCAGGCTCTCGTTAGATCTCCGAGGCCAGAGACTAACTGGGTAAAAATGTCACACTTGCATAAATATTTATCAGTCGCCTTTAAAGACCAAAGAATGCAGCAACATTACACGACTTGAAAATTAATTCCAAAACAAGTCAGCAATGTGTGAAAAACTGCAAATATTGGTCAAATTCTGCCAGTTTTTAACACGAGAACAAAACCACATATTCTATATAAACAAATAATTAGAAGCTCTGTGCCAAGTGACTCTACCCCAGGACACCAGACATGCCATATATGGCACTGCCAACAAGAGTTCTGAACAAGTGGGCAAACAGGTGCCAACTAAACAGATCTGGGTGCTAAACCATTCATATACAGCCGATCTGAATAATAATAACACACATATATATATATATATATATATATATATACATATATATACATATACATACATACATACATACATATACATATACACACATACATACAGGGAGTGCAGAATTATTAGGCAAATGAGTATTTTGACCACATCATCCTCGTTATGCATGTTGTCTTACTCCAAGCTGTATAGGCTCGAAAGCCTACTACCAATTAAGCATATTAGGTGATGTGCATCTCTGTAATGAGAAGGGGTGTGGTCTAATGACATCAACACCCTATATCAGGTGTGCATAATTATTAGGCAACTTCCTTTCCTTTGGCAAAATGGGTCAAAAGAAGGACTTGACAGGCTCAGAAAAGTCAAAAATAGTGAGATATCTTGCAGAGGGATGCAGCACTCTTAAAATTGCAAAGCTTCTGAAGCGTGATCATCGAACAATCAAGCGTTTCATTCAAAATAGTCAACAGGGTCGCAAGAAGCGTGTGGAAAAACCAAGGCGCAAAATAACTGCCCATGAACTGAGAAAAGTCAAGCGTGCAGCTGCCACGATGCCACTTGCCACCAGTTTGGCCATATTTCAGAGCTGCAACATCACTGGAGTGCCCAAAAGCACAAGGTGTGCAATACTCAGAGACATGGCCAAGGTAAGAAAGGCTGAAAGACGACCACCACTGAACAAGACACACAAGCTGAAACGTCAAGACTGGGCCAAGAAATATCTCAAGACTGATTTTTCTAAGGTTTTATGGACTGATGAAATGAGAGTGAGTCTTGATGGGCCAGATGGATAGGCCCGTGGCTGGATTGGTAAAGGGCAGAGAGCTCCAGTCCGACTCAGACGCCAGCAAGGTGGAGGTGGAGTACTGGTTTGGGCTGGTATCATCAAAGATGAGCTTGTGGGGCCTTTTCGGGTTGAGGATGGAGTCAAGCTCAACTCCCAGTCCTACTGCCAGTTCCTGGAAGACACCTTCTTCAAGCAGTGGTACAGGAAGAAGTCTGCATCCTTCAAGAAAAACATGATTTTCATGCAGGACAATGCTCCATCACACGCGTCCAAGTACTCCACAGCGTGGCTGGCAAGAAAGGGTATAAAAGAAGAAAATCTAATGACATGGCCTCCTTGTTCACCTGATCTGAACCCCATTGAGAACCTGTGGTCCATCATCAAATGTGAGATTTACAAGGAGGGAAAACAGTACACCTCTCTGAACAGTGTCTGGGAGGCTGTGGTTGCTGCTGCACGCAATGTTGATGGTGAACAGATCAAAACACTGACAGAATCCATGGATGGCAGGCTTTTGAGTGTCCTTGCAAAGAAAGGTGGCTATATTGGTCACTGATTTGTTTTTGTTTTGTTTTTGAATGTCGGAAATGTATATTTGTGAATGTTGAGATGTTATATTGGTTTCACTGGTAATAATAAATAATTGAAATGGGTATATATTTGTTTTTTGTTAAGTTGCCTAATAATTATGCACAGTAATAGTCACCTGCACACACAGATATCCCCCTAACATAGCTATAACTAAAAACAAACTAAAAACTACTTCCAAAAATATTCAGCTTTGATATTAATGAGTTTTTTGGGTTCATTGAGAACATGGTTGTTGTTCAATAATAAAATTAATCCTCAAAAATACAACTTGCCTAATAATTCTGCACTCCCTGTATATATATAAATAATATCATATCATAGGGGTTAAAATGACAGATTTAAATTATTACTGTGATCCCAAAGTAAAACCCTCTCTAATTTCTAAAACATATTTGTTATATTCCAAAAAATGTGTTTAGAAGTCAGTCAGTGTAACCAAGATACATTCCTATTTTTAAAATCACATTTTAGTTGTATAAAATTATTATTAAGTCACCTAAAATTTTTCAGAACAGCCCCTGCCCACACCCACACCCCTAAAATGAAAGTGTCCCTCTTGGTCTGGTTGTAAATGGAATAAAACACCTTCCAACATTTCAAATAACTGCCTACCAACTATTAGCAAAGAAGAATACAACAGACCTGCGTTGCAACTGCACTTTCACAGTCTGACAGCTTTGCTGAATTCACAATGTCCCCCAATCGTGACATCATCGCTGGTGGTCCGGTGGCCAGCAGGGGAGCAGATAATGGTGAGATTACTTACCAAAACATGTCCCTCGCGGGCAGTGCAAGCATTCTTACTCAGCTTCTCTATAGTGCCAGGAGCCAACATTACTTGCGAGTTCAGCATTGAGGTCTATGAGGGATCCCAGCAGACCCTCCAGAAACAGAGCAAATTCCCTGCAGCCATCAATGGTGGTGGCTGTCGGGACGGACTAAAAGTCAGGTTGAGCAGAAATACAGAGATGGCCCCTATTATGTCTCTGTATATCTCTCGATTGGTTTTGAATTTTAGTGAAATTCCAAACATTTTAAACAAGTATTTCATAAAGATTTTATCTATATCAAACACTCATTTTCAGGAGGGGGTGACTGTTGCTTTAACCCCTTAAGGACCGAACTTCTGGAATAAAAGGGAATCATGACAGGTCACACATGTCGTGTCCTTAAGAGGTTAAATACCATGTATGCAGAGTGATTTTGCAGACATACAATACATGTTTTCTATCCTGAGATGTACTCTAACTACACCTTTACCTGTATCTGCACCCAGGATTATATATTTACACGAGCTGGCCTGTCCTAAATGCATCTCTAATCAGCCAAGTTTCCATTCGTAACCTGGGCTGAATTACATCACAACTCAATTATCCACTTTCCCACTTAAAAGGTCAAGTATGAAACTCTCTTGCTTGCCCCTTCATCAGAAAGAGTTTCAGATTTTGAAGCGGTCTCCACATGGTACAATGTTGCCTAACTGATAAGATGTCACACTCCCACAACCACAAAAGATAACAGAAAATTCTTCAATTTGATAATACACGAGAGAATTCAATATGTAAGGAGCAACATCTGGACGCCTGAACACCACTTAGATTAGATTTCTTCAAATAATACATTTCTTTCCCGGTCAAAATTAAATTCTGGGCAAATATACCCAGAAAGCTGAAGATTGTGAATAAATCTATAGAATCTGATGGAAAATTCTACATAATAAATAATGCTTGTTCTAAGTTGGTGGCCATGATTGACACAAGCTGGTTTGCCCGAATCCACTTACGCAAAAGTACTTTATTTCCAGTAACATTAGGGTATGCGGGTACTATTTCTGCCTGATGAAGGCGCAGCATAGATATATAGCCAAGAAAAAAAAAAATTTATTCTCTGCATTTGATCGCAGTTTAGCTATTACACTCGAAAATGTACATACAAAACAAACTGTATACTGTGACACAAATGAACACAATAAAATGGGGCACTGTGTGAGCAAGTATTAGATATGTATTTACATAACAAGGAATCAAAATCAGAGAATAGGTCAGACAGAACAGCTGTCATAATATGTACCAAAAACAGTTTGATACGAATGGGGTTCATTCAATAAATAATAAAATGTTGTGTAGCCAAAACAGAATTGCAAATTGTGTTTAGCAATAGATAATTTGGAAAAATTCTCCAATTTATAAATCACAACTTGGCGATTTATGCAATTTGGTTTTCAGTTCTTTAGAATTCATTGTTAAAACATTACACATTAAACATTATGTTGTCCCATTGCGCAGTAATGAAATCTCAAGCCATCTTCATTTATAAAGCACGCTTAAAGGCACATTAGAGGAACAGCATAGCATAATGTCCCTATTTGCATTATAGCCCCCACCAACTGCAATAAAAATAATTACTAAAGTGATACTTACCTTTTTCCAGTGCAGTGACTCCCTTAGAGCTACTACCCGCTCCGCCACCCACGATGTCATCCTAGAGGTGTCAATCACCTGGCGGTGGTCCAATTTAACGCTATCCATAGAGAAGCATTGAGGACGTGATTACGCATACACTATAAGTGCTGCTCATGCCTCCAATCAAATAATTTTCATAAGAAAGCTTTGAATTAATGACAGTTTCACTCGTTGTTGCATAGGAAGCAATCCTATTGTTAGTCTGGCAGCCACTGGAAGTGTATTTAACCCTTCAAGGTAAACAAAGCGGTTTCTACAAAACATCAATGTTTTACATCAAAGGGCCACTGCACCCAGACCACTTCATTGAGATGAAGCGGACTGGGTGCATATAGCGGTCCTTTAAGTACCATAACCACCAAGAACAAATAAGGATACACATTTGGAGCACTGAGTCTGTGAGTGTTGGGGGGTGTAGCCTAATTGGTTGGATGAATTGGTGGCAGCAGATGGGATAGGTTTTAAGTGCATGGAGAACACAGCTTTTTGAAAAATGCTAATTATTTAACAAACCAACCAATGAGACTCCTTGCTCCATAACTACAATCATGTGTAGTAGTTATGATACTTAAAGTGTCCCTTTAAATAAGAGGTGTTTTCATAAAAAACAAAATCTTTAATTTTTCCAAAAATGTGTAAACTGTAATAATAATAATAATAATAATAATAATAATAATAATAATAATAATAATAATAATGGTAATTTAACAGCTCAAATAGAGTCAACATTACAGGGAAACCAGAATTCTTGTGAACGTTTCCACGCTAAACTGATGCAGGACAGTCAGTAATGCAGAAGAAAATCTCTAGCGTCTACACATTTTAAGATTAAATAACACTTGTGGCGAAACCAACCTCGCCACTATGCACTGGAGAAGCCTGGTTGCCAGCCTCCTGCCATCTGACTATGGCCCCCTTGTGAATTCGTACTTTTGTATGCAATATTTGGGCATGTGACATTCTATATTGCTGCTACTGGCCCTTTAAGGGCCATCCGTGAACATATTCTGCCTGTTAGGAATAATGCCTTTTTAAGACTGTGTAGCAAATTGCATTCAGGCTGTATTTAATAGTATATGTTCGGTATAAAGTGTTAGGTGAATGCAGCATTCCCCTGATTGTTCGGTAGAATCACTTCATTCATTATATTGGGTGAAACTACCGAACAACCAGACCACCCGGGAGTAAGTGTGCCTCCAATTACCGTTTGCAACAATGTTGCAAATGGGTAATTGGCAATATGTGTAATGTGTGTTGTGTCCTCTGGGTGGCCGCCATTCGGGAAACGAACACGTGGCGGCGGCCATCTTAAACTCCCGAACAGCGGTGTTTTGCCGTCGAGTGTCTGGAACTAAAATCGGACACTTGACTAAGCAAACACCGCTGAGACCTCCAGACTTCCAGCAATTCGTGCAGAAACTACCGAACGGCCCGCCGTTCGGTAGAAAGGATCCCACGAACAGGGGGATTCATACGAATCCTCCCCAAGCTCTATAACCCAGGCAATTCGTGTGATTCATTCCCTTTTCTGTGACCGACTGCAGGGCCAAAGTACATGGAACTATTTTCGGATACTTTTGCCATGCAGTCGGTCAAAACTTTAACCCTTTATAATTCCTGAACCCCTGGTCCGATCTGGGTGATTTTTGGATATGTGTCTCACCCAGATCAGGGTTACCAGGGGATGTAACATTTAAAGGGGTATTCCTATGTTTAGGGGTACATCCAGTATCCCAGGGAATTTGTGTCTGTACTAATGGGATTATGTGTCACACTAAGGGGAGGAGATGTGTGGGAGGTCACTGGTACATTATTGGCTGGGGTACTAATTGTTGTGGATCCCTCCCTTGCATGGGAGAATGTCTTAAAAGGAGGTTGTGTGAATAAATCTGGAGATTCTGCTTAACCCTCAAAACGAAGTGTCGTCTCGTTATTGGGGGAATTGGATTGTGTGCTGACTGCCAGGAGTGTAAGCCGTTCGTATTGCTTTTCCTGTTCGGCTGCTTCCAGAGTTCGTGTATTTCTTGTTCGTGAGTTGGGGATTCGTACAGTTTGGAGTTCGGGAGGTTGGTGATTGCAATAGCTGCTGGTCTATGGGAAAGGGGATTATCGCCTAAACGGATTTTATCCCCTTGTGAGAGAAACGGTCCGTTACAATTGGTGGCAGCGGTGGGATCGTTCCTACAACCAGAAAGACAGCTACAGGGCAACACCATTCCTTGGATTACAAAGTGAGGGCAACGCCAGTACACGTACAGCGACCCTATCGACAAAAGAGCCAACTTCAGCAGCGCAAGCATGGCACCTAGGTACACTCAGGAGCAGTATGACAGAGAGTTTGCTATGCGGCTGGCTTTCTTTGGACCCAACCCCCCGGAGAAATACGTGCAGTTCGTAAGGAGCCAGGTAGACGAGTACCTGGAGTTCATGGCAGATCCAGCCAAAGGTATCAGCCGCCCTATCCGGAGGCAGAGTGCGTTACGGGGACTCATAGGTGTACCCCAGGGAGCAGAAGGTGCCGTCCTTCCTCCCCAGCGGCAGTGTGTACCCCAGGGAGCGAAGGTGCCGTCCTTCCTCCCCCCCAGCGGCAGTGTGTACCCCAGGGAGCAGAAGGTGCCGTCCTTCCTCCCCAGCTGCAGTATCCTAGGGAGCTGAAGGTACCGTCCTTCCTCCCCAGGGCAGTGTGTATCCCAGGGAGCTGAAGGTACCGTCCTTCCTCCCCAGCTCCCCAGGCGCCGCCCTTCCTCCCCAGCGGCAGTGTATCCCAGGGAGCTGAAGGTGTCCTTCCTCCCCAGCGGCAGTGTGTATCCCAGGGAGCTGAAGGTGCAGTCCTTCCTCCCCAGCGGCAGTGTGTATCCCAGGGAGCTGAAGGTGTCGTCCTTCCTCCCCAGCGGCAGTGTGTCCCAGGGAGCTGAAGGTGCGTCCTTCCTCCCCAGCGGCAGTGTGTGTCCCAGGGAGCTGAAGGTGTCGTCCTTCCTCCCCAGCGGCAGTGTGTACCCCAGGGAGCTGAAGGTGCAGTCCTTCCTCCCCAGCGGCAGTGTGTGTCCCAGGGAGCTGAAGGTGTCGTCCGTCCTCCCCAGCGGCAGTGTGTGTTCCAGGGAGCAGAAGGTGCCGTCCTTCCTCCCCAGCGGCAGTGTGTCCTGCAGGAAGCGGAGACAGTCGGTCTCGCTCCCCAGCAGCAGGACAATATATTAAAAGGGGAGACAGTTGGTCCCCCTCTCCAACAGCAGAGAGTGTTCCAGGGAGAGGAACCAGTTATCACCTCTCCCCAGCAACAGGACGAATTATTGAAAGGGGAGACAGTCAGTCTCCCCCTTCAACAGCAGAGAGTGGGTCAGGGAGAGGAGCTTGTTATCCCCTCTCCCCAGCGGCTGGAAGTATGTATGGGAGAGGAGCTTGTTACACCCTCTCCCCAGCGGCAGCTTAGCCCACCAAGGGGAGACAGTGATCTCCACAACAGTGCAGATGGGACAGTAGTCGCTGCACATGCACCACCGGGGGTAGGGACAGTCGGTCCTGTCACCCAGCAGCAGGACTGTTTAGGCAAAGGGGAGACAGTCTGTCTTCTCCTCCAGCAACCAGGCTCCAACCAGACTGCTCCCATGGTAGTGCTGGCACCAGGACAGAGTACCGCTGGTCTCTGCCCACTCAGCAACCCACCCAGTACGCTGACCAGTCACCCACGCAGCCATGGTGAGGCACCTGGACACGGACAAAGTTCTCCGCTACCCAGGTGTAGTAGCCAGTTATTGTGGGTGGGCTGTATTACTGATTGTGTTTTGTGGGTGGGCTGCTGGACTAACGAGGGCACTGACCGGCAGGAGGTCAGATACCCTGTTAGTCTGATTGGGAAAGGGGAGAAGTGTGGCGAAACCAACCTCGCCACTATGCACTGGAGAAGCCTGGTTGCCAGCCTCCTGCCATCTGACTATGGCCCCCTTGTGAATTCGTACTTTTGTATGCAATATTTGGGCATGTGACATTCTTATATTGCTGCTACTGGCCCTTTAAGGGCCATCCGTGAACATATTCTGCCTGTTAGGAATAATGCCTTTTTAAGACTGTGTAGCAAATTGCATTCAGGCTGTATTTAATAGTATATGTTCGGTATAAAGTGTTAGGTGAATGCAGCATTCCCCTGATTGTTCGGTAGAATCACTTCATTCATTATATTGGGTGAAACTACCGAACAACCAGACCACCCGGGAGTAAGTGTGCCTCCAATTACCGTTTGCAACAATGTTGCAAATGGGTAATTGGCAATATGTGTAATGTGTGTTGTGTCCTCTGGGTGGCCGCCATTCGGGAAACGAACACGTGGCGGCGGCCATCTTAAACTCCCGAACAGCGGTGTTTTGCCGTCGAGTGTCTGGAACTAAAATCGGACACTGACTAAGCAAACACCGCTGAGACCTCCAGACTTCCAGCAATTCGTGCAGAAACTACCGAACGGCCCGCCGTTCGGTAGAAAGGATCCCACGAACAGGGGGATTCATACGAATCCTCCCCAAGCTCTATAACCCAGGCAATTCGTGTGATTCATTCCCTTTTCTGTGACCGACTGCAGGGCCAAAGTACATGGAACTATTTTCGGATACTTTTGCCATGCAGTCGGTCAAAACTTTAACCCTTTATAATTCCTGAACCCCTGGTCCGATCTGGGTGATTTTTGGATATGTGTCTCACCCAGATCAGGGTTACCAGGGGATGTAACATTTAAAGGGGTATTCCTATGTTTAGGGGTACATCCAGTATCCCAGGGAATTTGTGTCTGTACTAATGGGATTATGTGTCACACTAAGGGGAGGAGATGTGTGGGAGGTCACTGGTACATTATTGGCTGGGGTACTAATTGTTGTGGATCCCTCCCTTGCATGGGAGAATGTCTTAAAAGGAGGTTGTGTGAATAAATCTGGAGATTCTGCTTAACCCTCAAAACGAAGTGTCGTCTCGTTATTGGGGGAATTGGATTGTGTGCTGACTGCCAGGAGTGTAAGCAGCTCGTATTGCTTTTCCTGTTCGGCTGCTTCCAGAGTTCGTGTATTTCTTGTTCGTGAGTTGGGGATTCGTACAGTTTGGAGTTCGGGAGGTTGGTGATTGCAATAGCTGCTGGTCTATGGGAAAGGGGATTATCGCCTAAACGGATTTTATCCCCTTGTGAGAGAAACGGTCCGTTACAACACTGAACCATATACCTCCACTTAAAGCCTGGTTATTACCTCAGCTAAACCAAACTACACAGAGTTAATTTTAAGAAGTGAAAATATCCCCTGGTAATTACTCCAATTTTAGAACGTTGGTTTAAAATTACTGTTTGTTTTGGTACGTTGCCCTCTCCAAGGAGCCATTCCTATAGCATCAACGATAGAGGGCAAATCAAGTCTTCCACTATAGATTGCCCACTTCTTGGCGGAAATTTTACTCCAAGTTAAAGGTGTCACAGACTGATTGTAGCGGCTCGGTCATCAGAAATACTTTACATATCCTTATAAAGCTCTTTGAAAAATGGTCTATAACTTAACGGATGTGTTAGTAGTACTGTACTGGAGATGTACAGTGTAGGTGGAGAAATATGAGGATGGAAGCATGGCAAACAGCTTCTATGTAGAACTATCCAAATTGTCTAGGTTTAGATTTTGTGCTTTAGGGATTTGATCAATTCTTGCAATAAAAAGTAGTATAGGTCATGTTTAGTTAGCTTCTCACCCAAGACAGACCTCCATACAGGCTTTATGGAAGAATTCTGAAACATAGAATGTGACGGCAGATAAGAACCATTTGGCCCATCTAGTCTGCCCAATTTTCTAGATACTTTCATTAGTCCCTGGAAGGCTATTCCATGCGTCCACTACCCTCTCAGTAAAGTAATACTTCCTGATATTTTTAAACCTTTGCCCCTCTAATTTAAGACTATGTCCTCTCGTTGTGGTAGTTTTTCTTCTTTTGAATATAGGTCTTATAGTCTTCGTACTGCACACACATTCTGAAAGACGGGGTTTGGGAGACTCAAGCCTCCCCAGAACGGCTGTTATATCTGACAAATTTAGCACACTACAAAAAGACAGGCTTTTTTTTTTTTTTGGAACAAGGGTCATCATCTTAGTATATTCCATAAAGCTTCCATAAAACAAAACAAAACAAAAAAAACAAAACAAAAAAACACACAACATTATTTAGGATCCCTTATGTGCTCCGTCAGATGTCATAATCAATTAATTTGCCAAATTCAGAACAGCTTCTAGAAGGAATTTAACAGGTTTTAGAATAGAATTTACAGATTTATAATAGATTCAGTAATGGGACTATCTGTTCAGACTGCAGCTCCTAACAGTCAGACATTGTAAGCGTAGAGATGTCATGGTGGCTATTGCAGATATGTGCTGGGCTTATAAATGCCAAAACACAATCCTACCTCGACTTATCCTCTGTTTCTCCCCAGAAAGTATCCCAGGAGTGTCAATCACGCTGATACTCTCGAGTACAGGATTTGGTAGCTGTGCACAGACGAACCTGCAAACAGAGAACGAAAAGACATGAAATGAAAAGCATAACTGGAAGAAATTGTACATTTAATGCCCATTTAAAAAAAACAAAAAACAAAAAAAAAAACAGATCTCTAAACAGCACATTAGATACAAATGTGCATCAATTGATTGTGCTACTAAAATAGGTTGAAATGTGTAAATGACCAGTTACTGGCTGGGTGTAAGGAATTTCTGATTACAACCACACCTCACCCCTAAATCCTCTGTATTCTGACCCAAGAGCAATGCACTAAATCAGTTTAGAGAGGATACTGCGGAGCTATCCTTCTGCTAGACCAAATACTTCATTGCAACTGAAGACTGCCAGGACACATTACAATGTCCCATTCTGTAGAGCAGATAATTTAAAATGAATTATTTTATATAATGCACCAGTATATAGGTCATGTATAAAATAGAAGGGCAGATGCTGGTAATGAATGTACGTTGATGTGTGTACCAGACATTGCAGGATTCTTTACATTCGGTAAGTACGTATATGTAGATTGCATGTAAACTGATCGCCTGCGTGTATTGAATATAAATCTACCTACTGGAAGGTATATCCACATTTTGTAAATGATCGAGTCCCTTTAAATCAACGTTCTTGTCAATCACAAGTTATTAGTCTCAGCATAGTTATAACAAATACGTGCGGAATGTTAGGATTAATGTTTGAATTGTAACTAAAGCTGTCTCCAGCATACCGGATGAGAACCGTGTTAAATAAGTACTCTGCAAATATCCTATTGTTCTCACAGAAGCATTGCTTGTGGAACATATTACTAACAAAAGGAACTGATTACATTTCTAAAACATTACACCAATGGCTGCTGTTTAGAAGGGGAGAGGACCTTCGAGGGGAACTGGCAGGCCGTGCCAAAATGTAAAAAAAAAAATAAAAAAAAACGCAAACACTCCTTTTCCAGATTCCCATCAGCACACATACAAAGTAAAGGGTTAACAGATGGGGGTGGAGGGGAGGATCCCAAGGCAGATATATGAGGTTGTGGAAGACTAGCATGGCAGGTGGAAATGGAAGATACAAGCAGGGTCGTTTTTTTTCCAGATAATTATAGCACTTTAAGGAGTTTATTAAATGAATTGTGGGGCTCTTTAAGAAGAGAAGTTTTGAGGTGGACTTGGAAACAGTTGAACAAAGCAGACAGTTTGGGTTAACGTGGCTGTGAGTTTCACAGTTTAGTGAATATTCCCCTATATAAGAGGCATTGAGTAATAACTCCTACTAATATTAGATTTACCTTGCAGTATATCCTGCTGTAATATGTTTTATGAAAGTGCAATTAGCAGTTCCGTTACAAGTATCCAGGCTGTGTCCAGGAAACCCACAGCAGAGATTTCTATAACCCTGACCTCACACTTCACTGCGATTAATAATGAGCAGAGTGCGAAAAGTTACATTGTCACAGCGCTGAAGAAGGGTTGCCAGGGGAAGCAAGCGTTTTCCCAGAATACATGTCTCTCGGGATTCGAACACAAGTTTAAGCCATTAGAAACTAGCCACAGTTCTCCTCTCAGAGAGACCTTTCATCAGCCTGTCCGAACAGTGACCCAGATCTTAGAAACACGTCATGTGAGCGGTATAAACTCTACCAGAGCGTTAATGTTGTAGAAAGTCTAGTTGAAAAAAATAGCAAATAGGCAAACATTAGATTTTTTCCCACTCATCAACATTTCATTTTTTCCATATTGGCTGTCAGCCAGCATCTATCAGTAGCTGTACAGTTTTCATTAATTTTGTGGAATCCTAATTTTCAGTAAAAGTTTAAATAAAAATACTGCCTACTTGGTCCACAAAGATGCTGCCATCCAGCTACTGTGAAGTACACTGCTCATGGCATGGCTGCCTGGGAATCCTAAGAGGGCCTGCCCATACCTTGTACAGGGTAGCATGTGAATACCATGTTGCTAAAGACCGTAATAGTAACCAGGCTGACATATTAAGAATGCTTGCCAAAAAGCATTTTATCAAATGTGTTTTATTCTATTTACTATCATTGTGTTTTTGTCCAGCATGTAGATCTATATTTGGAAACCAGTTAAAGGCAAAAAAATAAATAAAATTAAAAAAAATAGGATTACCACTGCCTATAGTCCAAGTCAGGAGAGTCAGTGTGCAGTTAAGCTCATCAACAGATCTAGCCTGATAACATTATTCATACCGCACTATATTTATAGTGTCAGTTCGGATTGTCTGTACCTACAGTGTTTTTTGAGAAAACACAAGACAGTAATATTTCAGTTGTAAGTATTTGTGCATTATATACATGAATTCATGTAGTTTGTTTTCTAACTTTTGAGAATTCTTTCTAGCGAAACATACAGGGTCATGCCACCAACATCGGCATCCCATAAAGCATGGTGCCAGTGGGTGGGATAATTCCTCCTCTAAGTGGTTCCAGTAACGCTATTTGTGTCACTGACCCACTTCCTTTGTTCGGGGGTATGACCTGGTATGTTTTGCTGTAAAGAATTTTCAAATATTAAAAACAGATAGAATGAAGCAAATTAATGCACGCAGTGCACAAATGTATACACTTCAAATACCATTGTCGTAAGTTTTCAAAAAACAAAAGCGATCGTAGGTACTGACAAGAGAACAGAAGAAACAGGCCAACCCACCAAGGGTGGAACAAGCAGGAGACACTGGTTCAGTGATCTCTGCAAGGTCCTTCTACCCTGAGCAAAACACAAAAGCTTCTAATGATGCATTTGCACATTGCTTTTTGGGGACATCATAGATCAAAGTTAGGACGGAGAGACAGGACCCAGAAATCAGCACTATCCTTCCAAAAATAGGAAAGTTGTTTGGCATGCAAGGCTATTTACTATATGATATAAAGTTTGGGAGAGCAAAAAGACCGTGTGCAAGAGAATACCCTGAGAACAGACAAAAGCTTTATTACCTGACCCTTCGGTGGGTCCCTGCTCAGATCTCAAGCTGGTTTAGGCTCATCTTGTGCTATTACAGAGAGAACCTAAACCCTTTGCGTAGAAGATGGATCCCACCCAAAAGAGCAGTAAGATAAAAGGGTGATCCAGACGTGGACCTCTTCCTCACGGTGCCTGAAGGAGTATTGGCTATACCTCCCTGACGAAGCCGAACAAGACTGAAACTATCGTCTGGGGTTACTGTGCCCTCGTGCAGCAAGAGCCAGCCTGCATTTCACATAGGGAACGCCTTTTGGGAAGAATAAGTCTGATATGCAAAGGGTTCAGGATCTCACAAGAGGAGCTAAAACCAGCTTAAGACCTGACCGGGACCCACCGAAGGGCAAGCTGCTTGAGGTGTCCGTTCTCAGTATTCTCTTGCACCCTGAATTTCACATTTTAGACTAGAATAGCTGAATTGGAATAATAGTTGATTTCAAGGATTTTTCCAATTCAGCCAATCTTAAATTCAAGACAATTCTCACTTTAGTAAATAACCGTGATTCAGACACCATATTCTGAAAACAAAAGTGGTTAAAAAGGAAAGTCTACACCTATGAATGTTAAACATCTAACATCTAATAATGGCCAACATCTTATAATTAATTATTCACAGAAATCCTTGATCTGACAAAATAAAAAATAAAATAAAAAAAACCCTCAGCCTATGATCTACGTGGAAATCATGAACGGTTCTAGAACACCAGGCAGTTCCCATTGGAGCATCCCATTCCCCTTTTTAACCCCTCAATAACTCCCAAGTTTCCCTACACAGGAAGAATAGTCATTCTTTGGGACCCAGGCCCCTCTGTCACTTTTTTACCCTTCTATTCCTCTTTTCCTTTGCGCTCACAATGGACATTTTGGTAAATGTTATTAGAAAGAAGTTGGTGTAAATTATCTTCTTTTTTTTTTAAATTACCTTTTCAGTTACATAAATCATCACTAGCTAAAACCGTCCATGTCAGTGCAACCCACAATGCGCCCCTTAACCAAACGTTTCCCTTATTGGCCATTTAACATGTTCAGTGGTATTATGCCCCTTAATACAGGTCTGTGGAGTATACAGTTAATGAGAATAGATCATATAAAACAAAGAAAGACTGCCAACCATAACCATAATTAGGCAGGCAGGGGACAGAGTCTACGGTCATTCGGCATTTACCATAAACGCTGAGTTTTCCTTCCTGCCAGCTGATGCCCATTCCAGGAGCCCTTAAATAAAGCTAGAATCATAACATCCTGAGTCTAACGTCACACTGACCTGTTTAAGAAGGCGTTTCCAAAAGCATTCAGTTTTCTAAAAGGTTTTTTGGGATCCACCACGAGTGCATTGCCTGGGACAACCCCCTCCACATCACCCTGCATCACCGCAATGAAGGAATCTGTGGTGGGTTCTGGGCCAATCCTCATGCCAGGGAAGTCTTGTTCCAGGAGATATCTAGAGACAAAGATAATGGATTAATAGAGAACATGTGCCAGGGAATAGGTTTTAGTGAAAAACTCTTTGTAAAATGTGTATTGTGTGTAAGTATATCTCCCAGAAGCAACTATTTAAAGCTGTAGCACAGGATTTCCATAGAGAGGATGTAGACAGTACAAATTATGGTCACAAAATATGGGGAAGATGGGGGACAAGGCAACTTCTTTGCAAGTAACCTGCACAATAAGCAGATGTAAATGGAGTACTTGTTTTGTCCCTTTAAACAGATAGGATAATAGAGATCAGAAATTGGTTTTGGTTTCAAATCTATAAGCAGAGGACCTTGCCCTGAAAAAAAAAAAAAAAACCCAGACAAAAAGCAAAGTAGAATTTATTTCTACGCCTGACCCTTCCAGACACTGGGCAGAGCTACCACACCATCAACAAGTGTCAATACCACCCCGACGGTAAATCAGCTACATCTATGGAGGATCCCGCGGTAAAGCAGGACTCTCCACAAATCTTGATGCTGTGCTCTTGCGCATGAAGTGTCAGGAGCAGAAGAGGATGGTGGCGCCGCGAGGCAACCGGACCCCCAGCAGCGATGTCATTGTCTGGGGTCTTTGTATAATTTGCAAAGTGCCCAGGTGGTGACAGTTCCACTTTAAATTAGTACACATGATAGTTTGAGTCCCAAGTGCTAAATAGTGCTTGATGGCTACTTTAGTGAGAAACACTCAATACATATTGCATTTAAAGGGACACTCCAAGCACCAAATCCAATGTATTTTATTGTAATAGTTAGGGTGTCATTATGCAAGGTTTCCTCCCATCCTATTTTCTTTGTCAAATTGCCACTAACTTGGTAATGAGAAAGTTTCTCTTCTGCATTTTCTAGCCACAGGATTTGTACTGGTTGGTCACGCCAAATTGCAGGCAACGCTTTCGGCACTGCAAAAATGATTGAAGTCAGATTCTCTACACCCTCAGGGGCAGAGGGGGGTTGGCTATGGAAACCAGGGAAACTTTCAACAGTTGTCATTTTGCTTTAAAATGTTTTGACAAAACTTTTAGGAATTGCATCAAAAAAGTATTTTTGCACCATAACTATTACAATAAGCTGCAGTGTTTAAGGTGTTCAAAATATCTCTTTAAGGATGCTGTTAAGTCAGGAAGCCAGCTGAACAAGTAAACACTAACCAGCACAGGCAGAATTACATAATTGTATTTTCCTAAACCGGTCATTAAGGGATGGCAGAAGCAAGCATTATGTTGAGAATTTAAAAACATTTATTTTTAATCATTTCTATTCCATTAATTATCACCAAGAGATACAGATTTTACACCAAAGCTTGAGTCTAGACATTACAGATTCGGAGGGGTAGGGATGAATGCAGCGTACATTACAGTTACATAAAATAGATTTTTGCAAATTGCTTTCCATTTAGCACCTCAATGATGGAATCCAGTTACACTTTATGTATAAACTTCACACATAAAACAAGAGTTACACCTCCATCGAATAACTCACGCCAAACAGTTATTCATAAAAGCAATTACAGACCAGAGTTGTAACAGATGAAAAAAAAAAAAAAAACAATTATACATACATACATACATACATATATATATACACACACATACACACACACACAGCCCCCCCCCCCCCAATGATCTCCACCCCAGACAACTGGACATGTATTAAACCGGATTTCCAGCATAATACCAATATAGCCAAGCTGTGACTAAAGTTGGTTTGAAGTAATTTTTTTTTTCCAAATGAGCGATTTTTCCCGTACATTTTTCAATAATGTGTTTAGCGAACACCTAGGTTTGCACGCAACACAACAATTTATACTTCCCAACCCAGGAGCTAATCATCAGTATGGGATAGTGCTAACAGAGTAGGGGAGTACAATGACAGGAGGAGCAGGCTTTTGGGGGTGGATGACCACCACAAATTCAAAAAACAGACCAAAATTTTAGGAAGTCCTTGCAATATAAGCACTACAGATACTTGTACAATACACTGTGGTGGTTATGGTGCCTTAGAGTCTCTAATCTCCGAATGCTCTTGCTGCTAGCGGTGGGTGGGGTTCTAAACTGGTTGTGCAACGAATAGGTTTATTTAATTATAGAACTATGGCAGGAAAGCGTCTGGAATTCTAATATAAGCTTTAGATGAGACTTTGCCAAGCAGCACAGCTAAAGCGCCAGTTTCTACTGATTATATTTTTGCCCTAAGCAGGGCTGTTTTTAACAGCAGCATTTGATGAGAGTAATTTATGAACAACCTCTCGGCCCATTTGGGTTTAGTTTTTGATTCTCCTGGAAACATTCCCAAGTAGATTTTATTATTGTTATCGGAGCTGCCTCTTCGCAGGTGGCACGTTCCATCCTGCCCTCGATCCTGATCTCATATTTTTTGGCACATAACAGTAAACAGTTTGGATACAAAAATTGCTGTATGTTAGGAGTTTAAAAGTTTACAGCGATTATTATTTCCTTTTTTTTTTTTTAATGGAAGCAGGAACCAACTGTATTGATTCTCTTTACTGAGCTCAGAATAGTGAAACTAATTTTGGAAATGTAGAGGCATGTCACTGAATTTATCATCCTCCTGAAATATGCAGAACCACCTTTATATTGAACTCCAAGGGGTGCCCAGTGCCTGACACTAATTACTACCACCTTGGCCTCACCATTTAATGCTTGCAATTCTCACACCTGGCATCAATTACTATAAATTATACCTCCCCATGAAATGCTGTGAGAACCTAACAGGGCTCGATGTGCTCTACCGAACTGTTACATTTATTCTCCACCGTTCCATCAAATATATGAGGGTATAGCAATGCAAACTATTCATTTTTAAAGGAACACTCAAAGCATCTGTAACCGTTACGGTGCCAAGAATACCCCGGTGCCTTCATGCAGTATAATGTCCAACCATTGTTGCATGGGTTGACAAGCTACCTGCCAGGTCCATATTTGGTCCTCTCGGGCAGAAGACAGATTGCTCTATAAAGCAATGCAGGACCAAGCTCAATGGCAGGCACCATCCTGCATTGGTAGAGCTGTAATCTACAGAGACATTGGGTTTCTGCTGCTGGCAGACCAGATATGGCTGATGTAGCTCAGGCGCCCAGTGACCCAGGTAAGTTGTCAAACATGTTAAAATGGACCACTCAACACCATAACCACTACAGAGTGCTGTAAATGTTATGGTTCCTGGAGCATTCCTTTGACTATTTAAATTATTCTGCTAAATTAAACATGTATCCTTGAAAATAAATACATACTTGTCATGAGTTGAAAGTAGATCCTGACAACCTGATGGTGGTTTTGAATATGGTTTTTTTTTACGGCAGTAATTCAGATGATTTATATCCCAGTGTTATTGCTACAAGAATTAAGTGATTGGCTGGGTTATTCCATCCAATCACATCATCCTTCATTCTATAACACAAGGTGTTAAGCAAATTGGCTAATGTGATTCAACCAATAATGCTAAAAATGATGAAATCAAGCAAACATACATAACGACAGGATTACCTTTAAAAAGGCCTCATAAAATAAATATATGCACCGGGCCTCTTCTTCCTGTCTGCCTGCTAGCTTTCAGTACAATATGATTTATATCTGGTGCAAAAATCAGGAGTGAGAACAGGGTTAGAGATGGGATCTAATGGCAACTAATGAGCTCCATTTAGCAGTATAAATGCATTATTTACATCCGCACAATTAAAAAAAATAAAAAACACTGAATGCAGGCTGCATGTATCCAATACAAGACAGCAGACATATTGATCTCATAAACCAATAAACAAATGTAAAAAAAAACAAAAAAAAAACACAACAATGGGAGTTTCCCTTCTCTGGCTTTACACCATCAGGTCACGAGGTGTGGTACAAGTGAACTTCACACCTTGTGATTCCAAAGCACCTTAATATGTCACCATTTAACTCCGTTTTCTGTACAATCTGCTTTTCAGGGTTGTAACATTAATCAGACTGCCATCAGTATTACACCTTTTTACCTGCGCCACAGACATTTAAACCGAAAATAACATTCGATCTATGCATTTTCCAGCAATCTGCAGCAGGGGCACTTTTTTTTTTTTTTTTATAATTCTTTCTTTTTGTAGTGCTTAAGAATACAAGCTTGCATCAACATAATGATAGTCAATGTATATAAATTGCAGTGATAAAACAGGTCAACTTGAGAGAGATGTGCACTTTTTGTGTAAATTCAACATCGAGAGTAAAACAGTCATGTCTAACTGCTATATGAAGTAGAGTTATAAAGACATACGTCATAAGAGAGACATTGGTAGTACAAGTAGTACAAGCTACAAGGCGCCTTCTGAGCTTCCGACCCACACAGTGAGGGACTGGTCTTTCTGGATCTGGTAGCTGAACCCTCCATAGTCGCCGTTGTATTGGGTGATGGCTATCCTGGAAACCCAGAAATCTGTGAACTCCACACTTGTTCAAAAACATGGGATGCCAACGTTGCCATCACTAGCCAAACAACGTTCTACTAGACATTGAACATTTACAGAGTTATCTTCTACAGTGAGAATTCAAAGTGAAAGTTGACATTTAAGGCCCAGTATCTGAACTGGAATCACAGTTGAGTTAGACAATTTTGCCAGTTTGACGATTTTTAACTTTGAATGCACACTTTATTAAATAACGGTTATTGCTTGTGAAAATTTGCTTAATGCCAGATTGTTCAGCGTAATAACGACGCTGCGGACGATCACCCTCTTGGCATTTAACTGCAGGCCACCCTGTTGACAGAGCTACACATCAACTTGCTGATCATATTTAAAGTGATAGGTCACGCGGTTTTAAAGGAGAACAGTCACTCTTCTGGAAATCGCACAACTAAATAAAAACTTTGAAAACTGTGCTACAGGCATACTTCTAGCACCAAAGCCACTAGAACCAGCCTGGTGCCATTATGGCTTTCCCCTGCAGAAGTATTCGGTTAGCGCATTGCAATGCAGAACCACGCTCGCTGGCTGAAAGCACTTAGCGCACGCCCTCAGTCTACCACCGGCACGTATTGTGCTTCTTAAATGGCCAAACAGAGGAGTCAAAAGACAGTGAAGACGGGCGCCTGGAGATTTATCCTTACGGTAAGACGGCGCCCAGGGACTCCAGCCAGCTTCAGTGAGATGAAGTTGTTTTTGGGTGGAGTGTTTCTTTAAACTAAATTATATCCACAATTCTTGTATCTATTTAAATCCAAATAGACCGTTGAGATAAAAAAAGAGAAATACTTAATAGGCAATTGATAAATAATCCTTTTTAACCCCTTAAGGACCAAACTTCTGGAATAAAAGGGAATCATGTCATGTGTCCTTAAGGGGCTCTTGGCAGGTACATACATAAACACCGACATTTACCATGCAATATATCCCCCATTATATCGACTCCAGCTTTGTTTCCCTTTGCATTTAGTGGGATATCCTCTGACTTCCTAATGGGAGTACTATTACAGCTGACTCATCAACGCTGGGAGACTTTACTAGATACATGCATGCAGTCACTGTGAATCAAGTCCAGGCAAGGTCAGTCTTTAACTGTGAGCCTCCCCACCGAGTCACATAATCTGCGCCATAGTGTAACAATTATAGACAGTCTATTCATACTGTATGTGTGTCAAAACTTTTCATAATTCTGAGTCGAGAGTATTTCTACACAAATAAACCCACAAACTGCAATAAAGTAATGGCATAACCAGCAGATTCAAATTATACAAATAATAGTAATTGTAATAAGGTCATATATGAAAAATAAAAAGAACGGTGGCTGGTGGACCCCATGTAGTGGTCAGACTGTTCACAGACAATTTGTGACTTGCTCTGGGAACACCAGGGAGTTCCTGGCACCATAACCACTACAGTGTGCAGAAGGCCAGAGTCAGCTTTACAATTACAGAAATGTCTCTGTATTCATGAGGGGGATTCACTAAACAAGGACATGTCACATTGTCACGTGTGAATACAGAGGCTTTTGAAAAATAGCCAAGTTGATTGTTTTTCCAAATGGATTATTCTGGTTTAAAATTTTCACTCTGGTTCCAATTTTCCGTAATTTCCATAACATGTATAGAAACCCCATGGCGGCTCAACACCACATCAGGACTGAGAAATTCACGGCCCTCAGTGGCCATTCAATATACTCTTCTTTTGAAAAATGCATTTTGCTATTTGATTGCCAACTCTGCTGCACCCCAGGACATGTTTTCTTCCCTTTTGTGACCCATTTCCCGCTCTATGATATAAATGAGGTCTTCTTGATCCCTCATCACTAGAAAATGAATATTATGGAGTAAAGAGGTGGTTGAGGGCAGGCACAGTTTATAGGGAGGGCAAGCTGGTTTATAGGGACTGAGAATAGAGGGTCTATAAAAGGGGTCATTCCCAGTCCTGCTCTATAACCTTCATGAATTGGACCTCAATTATTTACACTACACCCATCATCCCACAAGAAAAGGTAACACTATCAACTGCAAAATATTGAGGAGATGCATATTCATATCAAGTTTAGATAAATGGATATAACTTTAGAATCCATGTTGATTTTATTTTTATACATTTTCTTCTCTGTGTTTCCAAAAATACACAAGATGTAAAAATACAAAGACTATCCCCCCCAAAAAAACCAAACAAACAAACATGTACTTACTGCCATGTAGTCATTCAGTAAAACAATAACATTGCAAATCAATTCTTCAAACAAATCTCAGAACAATTGATACAAATAAAAAAACAAACACACACAAACGAAACAGAAAACAAAATGTTTCAAAAACGTTGATACATATATTTACAGTTTTAACCATGAAACAGAACATTCTAAGAATGTTAATGCTCACATAGAGAGTGTACTTACTGTCCTTTCAGACCCTCATTCCATGCCCAGGTACTTACCTAATGAAAGTGGTTTTCCCAGTTGAGTACTGTCCCACCAGCAGGATCATAGGCTTGTTGTCAAAATCAGCATCTTCCAGGGCTGGGGAGTGGAACTCGTGGAATTTGTAATAATCTTCCAAGGGGAGAAGTTTAGTTTTGTACAATTTCTTCAAACCTTCACTGACTGTCTGAAAAACCTCAGGATCCTTTTTCCTATCATCATTACCCAGCCAGCTAAACATTGTGATGGTGTCTACAACAACAACAAAAAAACAGCTGCCAATGAGCCCTGTCCCTGCAGACTGCACAAATCTGGGTTTTATCTCAGATACTAAGCTACACCTGATCTATTAAAAAAAAGGACAGATATAGAAATCTAAAAAGTGCACAGCAAAAATGAGCAACAGAAAAACAAAACAAAATTAAAATGTTATTTTGTTTTCCCTCCCTATTCAGCTGCTGGATGCTTTCTGTAATGACAAATGGAACGTTAACAGAATGTGTTACAATGTATCCTCCAGCTAACTATTACTATTACTATTGCTATCAGAGTCAGTGCAGGCAGTAAGGGCAATGTCTGCTTCACAGAGAGACACACAGCTGCTTCCCCCCTGATTCTGTGATATTTTAAGGAAAGTGGTCCACAGCCTCACATCAGTGCTCTCCTCTAGGATTTAAATGCCAGCAGCCCAGGAAACCAGAGACACCGGAAGTTCCCATCTCCGGGCAAGGCATCCTGGCTGTCAGCATGGGGTGAAGCCGGAGAGGGCGGAGCCATGTTGACGGGTGCGGCAGACTGCGCTGTGCCTTGACAAGCTCCTGAGTGCTGCAGTGATGTGGGTGATCCCTGCCGTGTTAGTGTCACACTGCCACCTGCAGGTCAGGAACGGAAACTGCAACAACAGTGTGTTTCAGAATGAGCAGCACTGTCTATAAATGTGATGTTTGGGTTTAAATTGGATTTAATTCCTAAAACGCCCATGGTAATGGAAGATGTAGCTTATAAAGCTGCAATTAACCAGCATGAATAATTTTATGTAATAACTTCTATTAAAATTTCAGTGAATAACATTTTTGGAGTTAGTTGACTTTTCATGACTATTGTATGTGTACAGAATTAATATTTTTGGTTTGGGTGGTCCATAATTAATCTTGGGTTCAGGTGAATTTCAACCATGCAAATGATTCTGGAAAACAATTTGGGCAAACCGAAAAGGTGCGGAAACTGACCAATCAGTGCACTGAAAAATATAAATACATTTATATGGCTAGATTTTGCATTACACAATATCCATGCTTCCCACTGTCATAAACTATTATTAAGAAAATGTAAAAAAAAAAAACCCAACAATTTCTCCCTGTCATTCTGCTGTGACAGGATGCGTGGCTCCAATGAAATGTCCCTGCATGCTCAGCTGGGAGTGGGATTTGGGCAATTTGTTTACCCCTGA